TTCCTAGTTGTTTGCTTCCGAAATTGTATCCGAAGGCTCTCAAAGCTTCCAGGGTCAGAGTTTAGGTTGCATTCCCTCCGCGTGGTCCTCTGTAGGGTACCTACCTTCTCTAGTCTCACCCGTCTGCTCTTTTGGACTCTAACAGGACAGGACAAATCATAGAGTGTGACCGGGTCAACACTCAAGGTTGAAATTAGATCAATTCAGCGGTCAGAGTCGAACGTTTCGCCTGATTGGTTAATGCCCTGAGTTTCTGGCTGTCCTCAGTGGCCCTTCTGGTACCGATCGGCTCTTTGCTGCTTGCCATGGTGTATTCAAGCACAATGACGTCGCGCATTGTCTATTCATGCCCTAAAAAGAATATGGATGGATGGATTAGGGGAAAAGTAAAAAAGCTTTATTGTCCGTACAGCGACGATAGTATTCATTTCCCATCCTTCTAGGAGAGGGGGGGAATGGTGGATGCTCAGGGTCGATCGTCTGTATCATACATAGTAGGAGAAAGCCCCACTGCTATGCACAGATACGTACCATAGTTGTAGTCAAAGAATTACTTGCAGCTCTAAACTCTTCCATTGTTTTTCTTCTGATCCTCGTTTGGCTCGCGTGGCTCCAGATCTCAACCAAGCTAAGTCAGGCACTATGGGTCCACAGCATGGCACTATTTCCCTACTGCAGCAAGTGGTGGACAATTCCAATGTGGTACTGTGTGTACTGTACATACATACTGCCCGGTAAACTGATGGTAACTTACTTATTACCCTAGCCTGGTATGGGGAGATGGGGGGGGAGCGCCTTGGCAAGAAGCATCTGGAATTGAGATCCCAGTGCCTTGGTCCTTCCCACTTCCACCCGCCCTTAGTGTTTGTCCCTAAGGAAACGCAGTCTCTTTTTTACCAAATTATGGGGATCGCATCAGCATGAAGCCGCTACTGGCTGAGATGTTTTTTGGTAGGTCCAAGGCTGCCCTAGGATACTCACTTCCCAAGTAAAACGCCGGAGTAGTCAGCCACGTAAGGGACGTGCTAAGCATCACTTACTGACTGGATACAAACAGGTATCAGGATCGTTGGCTCCATACATTAGTATCATAAAGAAGGTATCTGGAACCCTCACCTTGGTCTCCATCTGGTCTCCCGCTACCCACCCTCGGCCCCTCCTTTCGCATAACCCGCTGTTTCAGGTCTTTCCATCTATTCGAGCGGCTGGGGGAAAATCCAACAGCGCTGGTCAATTAGCGACTAGCCGACGTAGTGACGTCAAAGAGAATTGAAGCAGGTTCGTTCTTGCATAGCAAAGAGCTAGGTGACAGCAGCCCAAGAGGTGATTATGCATGAAAGAGTGGCGGCTCTTCGAGAAAACCCAGAGAATTGCCTCTGAATGGTTTCATTTATCTGCTATTCACCTATGTTCAAACCTGCTGGTAGGTCTGTTACGAGGCCCCAGGCAATCAAAAAGATTTGGAATGCATCAAAAGTTGTTGAGACTTTCTTGGTGTTCCCTCCAAGGAAGTTCTTGCCATAGAAAGTATTGTACGGAGACTGTAGTTCTTATCTTTCCTAATTGTGTTGTAATGGCCGGTCGACGCTGAATTGATTCTCCTCACTTCCCCGGAAATTCTTTCATGTACGGTAAAGGTATAGTCACCTAAAGTATACGCCAACTACTCCGTAAATGATGCTTTGCTTGGAGCTGGGGATCACATTAAAGTTCCGGAGCATTTGCTCGAGAAGCCGAGCAACCATTTGCTATAGCAGCATGATCTGACCCAGTTAAGGGAGGCAGAAACGATTGCAAGTTGTCATGTTCCACGATGATGAGCAACAGCTGGGAACAAACGACAAAATTGATTGAGCCTGGATTCTAAGGGCCCAGCACGGAGTCGATACTACAGGTATGAAGGAAAGTCAGGAGTTTTGCGCCTCAGAAGTGTTCCTTCTATGACCTTGAATCTTTATCTTCACCAGTTTTGGTGATTTTACTCAATGTCAATCGATGGTTCCTTTCCTCCCAGGGTCAACCCCCCATTGCCGGCCCACTCCAGGTCCGGCGAGAGAAAATGTGTAGTGTTGTTCTTCACCGTAAGGAGTGAAGTTCGCCGCCATTTCGAAGTACCTGGCCCACTTCGGCAAATGGCCATGCGAACTTTCTTTGGTTCGTTCCCCTTTGAATACAATCAATTCATATTGCACTGTCAGTCTTCTTTCCCTCCATTAAATTCACTCATTATACATTTCCTCGGCCGAACCCCTCAATCTACATTTTCCCTCATCGTTCTGCTCGCGATCCGCTCTGAACCGGGTTGCAAGCACTTCATGCTGTCTTTTCTTGGTCAGACAGGCAGGGTTTTAGCTTCTTACTAAGTGCAATTCGTCAACGGTAGCTAAGTAGTAGTCAATGGAATTCACCGCTTGTTATCGCTCCACCAGTGCAGGCACCCATCATCTTGCTGGGAAAATTTCCTATTGCAGGTCAAATGTCATTGAAGAAAGCACAAAGCTTGGAGATGTTGACTCCTTCATGAATGTTGTCATAATTGCTCTTCTTGAGCTGTTCAGCGATGGGCCTTAGCTGTTTTGATACGTACATTTATTTTACATTTGGAAGGTGATACCTTATGCTTACTGCACCTACCAGGTACGTACTGGACCCTCTAACCTGTTCATCGAGCATTAAGCATAATAGTGGATGGGGACCTTCAGGAACCTCCACATTGGATAAGAGAAGGGCGCACTCCTTTGTAGTTGCATTTCCATCTGGACTTCAGAATTGCGTTGACCTCTCTTGATTGAGACATGCGATTTCTAAAAGGAGGGGAAAGGGGGAGGGGGGGGAGGGGGGGGATGATGATAGGGAGAGAGAGAGAGACGGGAGGACTCCATGTCTCCAGGTGTGGACTTGGGGGAGTCGCTGTTAGATCTATCATCTCACTAAGTCGCACTAAAACCAGACTTCTGGAAAGTCGATCATCATTGCCTTACGGGCCAATTTAGCGCGCTTTTTAGCTACACACCTTTTCTACTGTTCCCCGGAGCCCAGGGCTCAGGTCCATCATGGATTCATGGGTCTCCTCCTACCGGTCAATCTGCGGGCGGCGGCTCTGGAATGGGGCAATTTGCGGTTTCTCTTTCTATTTTTTACTTTTTTCTTATTCATCACTTTTCTCTCTCTCTTTTGATGTTCTTCCCATCCCTCTCTGTAAACTGGCTCCATCCCTTTTTGATTTCTGATTATTTTTTTATTCTTCTTTTGCTTCTCGATTCTACCCCCACCCCATCTGGTTTTACTGCTCGATTTCCTTTTTTTGGTAGACTAGTGTGGTCTGACAGTACTAGACTTTGGATCGATGATTACAATTCCAGCTCCGATCTGAATCTGATCCTCTCCCTTCCGACGGTTATATGTGATTTGATAGGCATTCATGGGGGCTTCTTCCTCTTCTTTTCTTTTATTTCGTCCTTTTTATCTCCCAATATTGGTCGAAAATGGGGGAGTGGGTTTCTCTTCCCTTCCTTCCATTTTCTTTTTGTTCTGTCAAAAATGGACCAGCCCATACCGCTCTTACTTGGAAGTACTGTACTGTGTACATGATAGCAGGTAATCCGGCCTGTTTTCTCTGCCTGCTTGATGCGTACAGCAGGTTTGTATTGACTACCCAAGCAGAGCGCAGCAGCAACCCTCAGTTCCTGAGGATCGATGTACAGTCGGGTACGGTACGTACGTACCTTGAATGGATTGCGTTTCTTTCTTGCAGCGATTGGTTCCACCCTATCCCAGATTCCGGTTCTTTCCCTCTGAATCTGATTTCTCTGTCATCGGCCTACTCGGAGGACTAAACTAGTATGTAGTACCCCAGTATCCAAGGTACCGTAGTCGTGTTGCCCGTACCGTCGTGTCAGATGGCTCCGATCCATCTCTCGTTCCCTATCCTTCCGGGTAGCCCACCCGCATCATACTTTGGGAAAAATATGAGAGAGGGAAAAAGAAAATAAAATAAAAATTGAAGCTAAAAGAGCCCGGCATGAAAAAATAAATAAAAAATTAGTTCAACAACCTAAGATCGAGCGACCAAGAGAAAAAAAAAGAATATTGTCTTTATTAATAATTTAGAGTGGATCCTTCCTATTCCTCAGCTGTTTGCTGTCCGCTTGCAGTTGCGTCCTTCTTGTACAGCTGTAACCGAAAAAGGGCCTGCCTTTATTGTCCCATACTGACTACTATCCTGAACCGTTGACACCTTTTTAGTCTTTTGCCTGATCACAATCAGTACTCCGTAGGCTATCCACTTTCAAAATACTACATTTAATTCCTCTGCCCGGCCAGCTTCTCCTTTCGACTGACCTTTCTACTTTTTCCCCCTATGCTTGACTGCTCTCAACCTCAATTCATCTGCTTCCCCTGTTCTCAATCGAGACAAAACGTCCGTTGGCACTTATACCATCAAGTAGTACATCAGCTGCTATATCTACACCTACCCTCCGAAGCTAACCTCCTTTGACCTACTGTCCAGACGATCAACTGGATATTCTACTCAATTGAACAACACTGATCTGTCTCTCTGTCTTCATTCCTCGTTACCTTGACCAACTTCTTCCAAAAGCGACCAGTTTGTTGAAATCAAACTTTGGCGTCATCGGATTCCCTTGCAGTTACACAGCCTAGCCGTTTCTCGGCTCTTGACCATCACCGAACCCAAAAGGGAGACCAGCAGAAGCAGAGAAACGAAAACGAACGGGACTCTCGCCATTGAATTTGCGACAGGGGGAGGAAATGTTGAGCCCCCTTTGACCAACAGCCTCTCTCCTTCCTTCAGCACAGCGATCTTATCACTATACTATACCCAACATTCCCTCCCTTCGGTTACAACACCGAAGACACATTCCTTTCGACCATTTGACCCCGCTGGCAAGCCTGCTCCTGTTGGATCATAGGGTCTAGCAAGCAAATATAACTCTATCACCCCGTGGATTTTAGAATTGCACGAACGGTCCAACGACAAGATGTTTAGTCGCCCGTCGTGTTTACAAGGCCGTCGACATGGCGAGCGCAACGATGATTGGTCCGCTTTCCCTGTACGGCAACTCTTCGTGCTAGGTACGTTTCCGACCTTCTGTATTTTTGCTTTTGCTGTTGCTTTTTGCTTTTTGCGCCCAACGGTTGTCGGGGGGAAAAAGAGAGAAAGAAAAGAGAGCGACTGGTTTTCAAGGCGAATGCTAGTTTGTTTGTCGTTGGATCTTTCTTTTCTTTCCCCAACCCCTCTTCCCCCCTTCCTTCCCCTGATTCTGATTCTTTCCTTTGATTTTCTTTTTCTACTGCCGCGCCTCTTGCGCTCGGGGAGCATCTACAGGAACGGATATCATGACTGACATCTGGTTTAGCGCTATGTCGCATCTGCGAGCCAATCGCATTCATGTCCATATTCCCCTATGTCTATCAGATGGTTGAGTCCTTCCACGTGACAGACAATGATCGCAAGATTGCTTTATATGCGGGGATGATCACTTCGTCATTCACATTCGCCGAATTTTCCGCCGGTATGTTTTGGGGTCGCATGAGTGACAGGATTGGCAGGAAACCCGTCTTGGTCATGGGTCTGATCGGAACTGCCATCAGCATGATCGTGTTCGGATTCGCTCCCAACCTGGCGACTGCCATGGTCGCCCGGGCCCTGGGAGGTCTTCTGAATGGTAACATCGGAGTCCTCCAAACGACCGTTGCGGAGATAGTCACAGTCAAAGAGCACCAACCCCGGGCCTATTCTATCATGCCCTTCGTCTGGTGCTTAGGTTCGATCATAGGACCCGCCATGGGTGGTGCGTTGGCACAGCCCTGCGACAATTACCCTTGGCTGTTCCAGCGTGGAACCATTTTCGACAGTTTCCCATTTCTGCTGCCCAACTTGGTCTGTGTTGTCGTCCTCTCGTCCGGTATCATTGTCGGCTTGTTGTTTTTGGAGGAGACCCATCCCGAGAAGAGGAACCGCCGCGACCCGGGCTTGGAGTTAGGCAATTGGCTGGTCAACAAGTTCAAGGGATCCCGCGACCATCTTGCCGAGGAATTGGACGTCAAGGCGGAAACTACCGGCGATGATTACTTCGTCTACGACGATGTTCCACCCCCCGAATACAGGAGTGCTGAGTCTTCTCCTCGTCTGGGTCCGATGAAAGAATCAGATGATCTCTCTACGGATGACGACATTGAGGGGCAGATGAAAGGGCAGAAGCCCAAGGCTTTCACAAAACAAGTGATCTTCAACATCATCGCCTATGGGATTCTCGCATAGTGAGTCTAATCAGAGTATCTGTCTCTCCACAGTGTTCCGGTACTGACATCGTCCCCAGCCATAGTGTTTCGTTCGACCAACTCATGCCGGTCTTTCTCAGCACTCCTGCATCCACTGACGCCGCTTCGCTTCCTCTAAAGTTTACCGGAGGTCTGGGACTGGCAACTAAGAAGATCGGGTTTATGCTTGCAGTCCAAGGTGTATACTCGATGATTGCTCAGCTTTGGTTGTTTCCCTTCGTTGTCCGTCGTTTTGGTACACTCAGGGTTTTCCGCTTCGTGTTGCTGGTGTGGCCCCCATTGTACTTCATGGTCCCCTACCTCATCCTTCTGCCGGAGAAGCTCCAGCTTGCTGCGGCCTATCTGGCTCTGATCAGCAAGATCACTCTACATGTCATCGCATTCCCCGCTACGGCAATTCTGCTGGCCAATGCTGCTCCATCTTCTAAGGTGCTTGGCTCCATCAACGGCGCCGCAGCCTCCACTGCCAGTTTGAGCCGCGCCTTTGGCCCGACTATTACCGGCTTATTGCACTCAAAAGGTCTTGAGAGTGGGTACTCTGTGCTGGCATGGTGGGCTTGCGGTCTTGTCTGCATCATTGGTGCCTTTGAGAGTTTCTGGATGGAAGAGTCGGAGCGAGAAAAAGACATGGAAAAGAAAACCCAACCCGATGATATGTCCGAGGATCAAAACATGTTGCGGGGTTCGTTCATGGTCGGGAAGGAGGACGGCACTCCCGAAGAGGCACGGAGATTGCTCTCTTCCGCGCGGACAAGCATCGATGAGCTGGACGTTCCCCCTCATGTTGACTCAGCGCAATTAGGCGCTCCTGAGTCTTAAAAGTCAGAAGTCGAGGTTTGAGACCTCCTACGTATCCTGTCCTATCACCTCAGTTCTCTGATCTCTCTCTACCCCCCCTCCCCTTTGTCCCTTCCCCTTGAGTTCTTAAACTCACACGTCATTTTCTAACTTCCTCTGTTTTATCTTGTGGATATTGTGCCTGGTGGCTTGTCTTACCCTTTTTTTCTTGTTGTTGTTATTCTTACCTTTTATGCTTTTTTTAGACCCTGACTCAAGATGGGCAATGGCGCAGTTTATAGACCGGATGCATATGCGACAAAAGCATGAGGGCTGGCGAGTCTGTTTCAAATCTCTACTGTTGGATTGTTTTCTGTTGGCATTATTAGCATGGGCATCGTTGGGCATCTATGACTTCATGCATTGGAGAGGCTGTTTGTGTTTGTCATTTCACATTTTTCTTTCGTTATTGCGCTTACTATATCCCAACTCTTAAGAGTCCGATAAGAGAAATCCGTTGCTAGGAGATTGAAGTGGAAATGAGAAACATCTCCACAACACAATCCAAATATTAAGAGGCAAATGAAAGACAGTTTAGTTTACTTTACTTGGTACAATTACGTCTTCCGCTTTGATAGTGTAAATCTGTTGTATTCGACACGGTGAGCGCTACCGCGCTTGCCATAGTGGTTTTTCGCCTTACCCCTCCCTTCCTCAATTTAACAGGGGTTTCATTTTCGAGGCTCTGGATGTCTGTCCAATGCGACCCGGTCAACCCCTCTCCTTCAGCGGCAAAGTCGGCCAAGCCTCACGCACGTTGACGCAGTAGTCAGTTAGGTTGCTTGGTGAATCGATCACGCTGTTGCCGTACGTTCACGTCATATGGTAGTGCGGGGCTTGCAGAGAGGGGGATCAGCCGGCCCCGCCTGTAGGGGAACAACTCTATGAATGCCCCTCTCTCTCGAGCCCCTCGCTGAGCTGGTTAGGCGCGGGGCAAATTGGGCCTCTTCGGTGATGCGGGTGGTGGAATCGACCGTCCGTTTTGGTCCGTTCACAGCTTCCCAAGTGAGGTATGCTGAAGCTATTCCGAACTATCACTGGACTGACCTGGCTCTCTCTCTCAGATCTCCATAGTGCTTGTTACATTCGCATAATACATTGATAATCGAGCCATGATTGGAGCCAAATATTGATGTTCTTAGTAATCATGATTGTGTTTTCGAGAAAAGAGGGTCCTATTTCGAACAGTTGCTGTTTTATCCCTTCAGGGATCAATATACCAGAGCAAAACAAGAACTCACCGACTTCTTTGTTCTGCTCAGCCCTCACTTACCATTCAGCAGACCGTAAAAGACATATTCGTTATTTTATCTATTTTTTCCCTCCAACCCACCCCAGAGTCCTTTCCAGGTCACAACCTAAGCTTAATACGAGAGGCATGAGATCTATACCGTACTAATCGGACCTGGACCTGCCTTATCAGTAACCAATCAATCTCCGATTGAATGGTAGAGATCACGTGGTATGACAGGTACCGTACAGTACTGTACCTTATTGAGACCTCGGCATCTCTTCACCAACTTGCTTCCTTGCAGGCCCTTCCTCAAGACATATTTTGGTCTTGCTTCAAGGTTAAGTCCAATGGCTACTACAATCTGAAAGAGGTATATAAGTAAACACTGAGATCAATTATCCACCCTCTCAATTAACCATGGCAGCTGCGGATAGATACGTACTCATGTATGTTAACTCTAACTAACTAACACTTACTGTACCTTTGTCAGCAAATCCTCCTCGCCCGCAACTCACCTTACCAAGTTAGATTAGCACGAACCAGTGCCTGTGAGAGGGTGGGTGAGTGCTGACATGATTCTTCTCCCGATCCTTACACTCCCCCGGGACCCAGACTTAGTCCTCCTCCAGCGTCTCCACCAATTTTTGCTATCTTCAACCTCGGTGTGCTTGCTTGCTTTTTTTTTTCTTCCCCTCTCTGTTCGTGTCCGTGCGTGTGTCCACAGTTCCCCCTGATCTACGTCTCTCTAGCGCGACATTAATCTCTATCCAGACTTCAGAGCCCTCGTGCAAGTAGACCGCCTGCGTCATGGGCTGCAACTGTGCCTTGCCTTCCGAATATTGACCGACCGCATAAGTCGCCGTCACGATACGCAACTGGCGACCTTAGAACTACGTGCGTCTTATTCGCGTCGATACAGTACCCTACTCTATCGATGGGGATACGATAGAAGCCAGCGCTTGATCCTACCATGATTGCTCGGCTGTTTCCAGCACTTTCGCACTCTTATTCCTACCCATCTCGCTTGAACAACATCTCCAAAACCCATTCCCGAGACATGCTCGCACGTTTGCGCTTCCCTTTGTCGTGCCTCTTCCGCCATGCTGAACCCCGCATCTCCTCCCTCACCGACCTCCTCAGGGAAGAAAAGACCGCATCCGTCAACTGATACGTCCTCGATGCCTGCAGAGTCGCCGGCGCAGTCTCAGCAGCAGGCCGCCCGTGAAGCGCTCGCCTCCGCAAATTCGATATCCTCGTCTCAGGCCTCCAATTCCTCTTCATTCCGCAACGTCTCCGCCTGTAACCGATGTCGTCTGCGAAAGAATCGTTGTGACCAGCGACTCCCCCGATGTCAGTCCTGCGAAAAAGCCGGCGTCCGATGCGTCGGCTATGACCCAATCACGAAACGCGAACTACCTCGTAGCTACGTCTACTTTCTCGAGGCTCGCGTGGCTTATCTAGAAAAGCTGTTAATGGACAATAACATCGAGTACAAGGAACCAGTTGCGTTCGATGAAGAGGAGGCCGTGAAAGTGGAGGCGGGGCTTGATGCTCCTCAGGCACCAGCCACAGGCTTGGAGACCTTGTTGGTGTCTACAGCCGAAGGACTCACAGCCGATGGAGACGAGAAAGGAATGAAAGGGGAGACAGACGGTTCGGTCGTGAGACAGGAGAGGGATGCCTCGAGCGGACAAGAGCTGGACAAAAGTCGGGATCCCAACAAAGAGGACAACTGGCGCATTCAGAATTTGGTATCAAACATAGGAATGGTATCAGTGCAAGGAACCTCTGATCCGCGGTATCTGGGCTCCACTTCCGGGATCTCCTTCGCTCGTGTCGTCTTCGCTGCTGTTAAGAGTTCCGTGTCAGGGAACGTTGCGGAGCGCGGGCCAATGCGTCCCAATGAGCGCCTGCCGCACAGTGCCACAGGGACTGCTGGTAGTACGATGCGCGATTCTTTCTTCGGCTTACAGACACGGCCGACCATGAAATGTGCGACATTTCCGGACCGGGACCTGGCTGAAAGGCTTGTCAACCTTTACTTCGAACATGCAAACGCCCAGATACCCATTCTTCATCGGACTGACTTCATGGAGATGCTCGATCGGACATATGCAGTTGACGAGAAGAACCGCTCCCCACGAAGCCTTTACTCACTCAATATTGTGTTTGCTATAGGTGCAGGTATCATCTTCGAAGATAAGTCATCAGGTGACGGGAAACGTGATAGCCGAGACCAGTCTCCGTCCCCGAGTTCTAAAAGACCACGACTGTCGAGCCACCAACATCAACCGGAAGAGTACCATGCATCTGCAATCATTCATCTGGAGTCCTTCCTTGGTAATACTGCCTCTGGAGATGGATCAGGTGCTTTAGAGGAATTGCAAGCTGTGCTACTTCTCGCTAGTTTCGCTCTTTTGCGGCCTGTAGCACCTGGGTTATGGTATATCGTTGGTGTCGCGATGCGACTGGCAGTTGATCTTGGCTTGCATTACGAGGATGGCACAGAGATCGATGCACCCGGGGACGAGAGCATTAATCGTACCCAAGGTAAGAGCACCGATAAACCTAAGAAGCATGTCGATACTCGCGAACTAGGACGGCGCCAATGGGTGCGTGATCTTCGTCGCCGTCTTTGGTGGTGTGTATATAGTCTCGATCGTTTGGTCAGTTGCTGTGTCGGTCGCCCATTCGGTATCAGCGATCAAGCCATCAGCACCGAGTTCCCATCCGCGTTCGAAGATAAATATATCACTAAGTCTGGCATCGTGGCACCGCCGGAGGGTGCACCGAGTTATAAGCATGCAGCGCACCACTATTTTAAACTCCGAGTTTTGCAATCAGAAATTCAAGAAGTGCTTCAGCATCAACAAGCCCGTTACCTCAGACAAAGGTCGCCATATCCCGCCAGAAGACCCATTCGTGCAGATATTGTATCTCCGTTCCTGCAAGGCTTCGACTCTTTTCATTCCTGGCGCAAAGACGTTCACAGGCGCTTGGCAGAATGGCAGCAAAGCGCGCCAACCCGCCGTGACACAGGCGTGCAGTTCTCCGTCGAGTTCCTTGAGCTGAATTATTGGCAGGCTGTTATCATGCTATATCAACAGAGTTTGACAGTGCCAGCAGAATTGGCAGATGAAATGATGCCTGCTGAAGACGTGTCCAGCCCGTCGTTTTCCAATGTGGATGAAGTGGAGGCCGAGGATGAAATCTACTACAAAGTCGCCGAGGCTGGGCAGAAGGTGATTCGGATCTATCGCCAAATGCATCGTGTGCGGTTGGTCAATTATACTTATCTGGCTACACACCATATTTTCATGGCTGGTAAGTTGTATCGAACAGATGTTTAACAAGCGTGCGCTAATAAATTTCAGGTATTTCTTTTCTCTATGCGATTTGGCATTCAGCTCTGGTTCGCAGTCGCTTGGTACGTACTTCACCATTACTTTCTTTCTACCATTCTCTTGTTCCAGTCTCTGATATTTTATAGACACTCGACGAGGTCGACTTCACCGTCCTTGCTGCTACCTCCGTTCTTGGGGACCTCATGCACAAATGTCCACCTGCAGAGGCATGTCGAGACGCCTTCGAGCGAATGAGCAAAGCCACAGTACAGATGTGTCTTTCGACCACTGGTTTTGGATCGCAAGTAGATCTCAGCCGGATCCAGGCAGAAGCAGCGCAACGACAGGCAGCTGCGCTTCACACCAACCAAGCCAGAGCATATGCAGGCAACCAAGCTGATTCACGGTCTCGCCATATCCAAGGCCCCGTCCGTCAACAGGGCGCCGGCCCTATGCGTCAAGCACCTCGCCCATTGCCACGCTTCGACATGAATCTTGGTGACCTGTTCAACGATCATGCCGGTGTTCCCGACCGGCCCAACAATGGGTCCAGGAAACCCGTGCAGTCGTACCCACTACCACCGCCTCGCGGGCCCCGACCCGACTACCCAGAACCCTCCTCATCCAATTACCCTCCCGATCGGACCTCTATTCGTCCTCATCCCCAGCGAACCCCTTCCCTAGAATACTACGCGTCTCCATACGACAATCCTGTCTCGCCTCAGACTCAACAGCAACCACATCCACAGCAGCAGCAGTATTACTACGCCCACTCGCCTCAGCAAAGCGCCTCACCTAACAGTGTCGGTGCCGGCAACAACCCAAGTCACCCTGCTGGTGCTCAATATCAACCCCCTCACGACCACCCCACCTCTATCAGCCTTGATTTCCTCGACTTTGACCCCAGCAGTGCAGCCGATGGCCAAATTCCCACCTCCGACGACAACAACCCCGAGTACAATCTCCAGGCCATGCCTTCATTAGGCCATGGGGTCGGTCACAGTGTGGGGATCGACCTCGGCTTTGGCATGGCGATGGATTTTCAGCATGATTGGAGTGAGAATGCCAATTACGATATGCTGGAAGGTTACTTCTTTGGTGGCTCGGGTAACAATGGACCGTCTGGAGAGGGCTGAATCGACCTGTCGTCCACCTATTTATTATTGTTCTCGATGTAGGGCTTGTAGAGACCTGGTTTGAACTATACAAGCCATAGGGTTGGCGAGATACACTTGTATTTATCTATACATACTTCTGGTACGGTTAATCTTCCAAGGATATAATATATCGAGTGTGTGTTCATTATGGCATGAGGGTGTGGAATGATGGTGATCCTTGGTAAATTCAATATGCAGTTAACCTCATAATACATCCCATCACCTTCGAGCAACATAAAGTGAGTGCAAGAGCATGGATCATGGAAACTGGACACACCATGGCATTCTACTGAAAGAGTGCCGATACACTGACATGCTCTGCCAGTACGGATTCTATGTGTGTTTCATGAAACCTCAGTAAACCGTTACCGTCCAGTGAACATACCAAGTACAAAGAATGGAGAATTTACAGAAAAAAGAGGCGTGGTGATTCCTGTAGGAGCATAAGGTTATTATCTACGGAGTAGGTACTGTACGTTCTAGCGCCTTTCGCAATGTCCACAGTCAGGTGATGCGCCGAGGGTTAGGAGCCGTTTGCTATACAGCAGCCGGGAGGTGTGTTTCCCCCCTCCAGGAGCCCCATCCATCACCTCTTCCTCTCTGACTGTTTCCTTGCAATCGGTCGGCCGAACTTCCCTCGGCTCCTGTTGGGATCCGACGAATTTTCTTCCAGTTCTTGGCATCCAGAGTTCTAAGTGGAGCAAGGCGGGTCTTGGCTACCAGCCTTATGCTAGTTAGTCTTGCTCAATTGCACAAGTTCATCGAACGGCGAGATTCCTTTTGAATTCCGGGACATGCCAATCTCGGAAAACACATTCAAAAGCATACAACTAGGTTTTGTGCAATCCTACTCTTTTACTTGAGTAATAACACCTTAGCTGCTTAATGGCTGATTGATTCACACTCCTATTATCATGTGCAACAACCTCGGAGGTGTCGAATTGGAGGAAGGAAACGCATTGCTTGCTATTTCCAGTCTCATCCTTCAAGGTCAACCTAGTAATTTTCGTCGACTCCCTGCTTGCCATGCGTGTTCGTATTGCGGGTAGTTGTAAGCCGCTTGTTGGCGCAGTTGCGAACGCCTTGATAGCTCGAACCACGAAGATTACACCGCGGGGCCGCGAGCCGAACAAAGAGAAATGGTAGTCGCACAGACCTGGATGAGGGGAAAGGGAAGGGGGCTTGTGTGAGATGACGATGCTGCTGCTGCTGCTGCTGCTGAAGACCAACCATAATCGCTGTGGTAGATGCTGTCTGTTTCCTGGCGTTGTGTCGCTAGACCAGGGGTGTTCCAATCTTAGTCTTTTAGTCCTCTCATCACGGTGATGGCCTACTATGTCATGCACACCTGGAGAGGCGGCATTGTCTGCCAAGCCTCAATATCTCTTAGGCTGTGTTCCTATCGGACAAGAAGGTTCCGTGATTGAGCCGAGAGTCGATCAAGGGAGGCAGGAATGACATCGCGTTGACGCCCGCATTATATGCAAGAGAGAGTCCACCTTAGTGATTGAATGGACAAAGAGGACGAGATCATATGGTTCGATAGCGGGTAAACGGCAGTATGTAGAGGAGAAGGAGAAGGAGTCTCTTCGTCTTGGCATCCATATGTACATGTAGTCACGAGTACTCAATAGTATATCGCGGTGTTGATAATTTGATAACGGTTCCCCCCCCACCCACCGCTCCGATATCGTTGATGAATCATTCCTGCCTATCCGGGATTAGTGTGGGCGCAAAGTTGGCTGTGCGCACCGACAACACTTGCCTCAAATAGGAATGGTGCTGTCATTGGAAGGGCGTGCAGTATTGCATGAGCTCCAGTTTTTCCTGATCTCTTGTCCACTGCTCGCCTATCCCCGTCCGGACCACGCAGCCTTCTCCGGAGACCAACAATCGCTAGGTCTAACGGGATACGATCCAGCGCTCCATGGCTCCATGAACTGCCACACCTCCCCCCCGGGGTGCATAGAAGGAACTGGCAAATCGACCAGGGTTCTGCCGTTCGGCGTGCTTTTGATACCCCAGACGAAAAATATAGTCATGTTGGCTGTCCCGTCCGCCCGCCAACAACCCGTTTACTATCCATTTCTACAGACAGTTCATGACTTGGTCTCTTGCTCCATACTATTGCTCGTCTGATCTTCCTCTTTGTTCATCTTCCAAAAGAAAGATAGACACGGATAACTTGCTCGCAAGCCTCCCACTGACTTCTTTCTTGATTTTAATCTTTCCTCAAAGATCTCGTCCAGTGGGATATGGAGTACTTCGATTTCGACGAGGCTTCGTATGATTCGCAGTCTCTTGTACGCGAAGATGACATTGCCTCCGAGAAGTTTGAGATTGACGATGGTGATGCCGCTGCGAATTACAACTCGTTTCTACAAGACGAACCCTTAGATTTTTCCAATGACCCACCAAAGCAGAGTCTTGAAGAACATCAATTGGTGGATGTTCCTAATTCTCTTCTTGGTAATGGCGTCTATCCAATGAGGCGTGCCAGGGAGCCCTGTGATTTTTGCAGGCATATGAATCTAGATTGCTTTGTTGCAAAGAGTGGAGTTATGCGCCAAAGTGGCTGTACTTGTTGCATCTCTCTCTGGCGTGAATGCAGTTTCACAAAGCAGGTCGAAGCTCCTGGCCGGTTCCTGGATACATTACACCCGATTGCCGAAAACATTGACAATACTACTGGCGGTCTAACAGGAAAGAAGGCGCTTAAGTCCCATTCGTACATCGCCGAGGAAGCGGACGGCCAGTCAAGGAAGAGCAACTCCCGATTGTCGCGCGAGGCGGTCCGCATCCTCAAGACCTGGCTGCTGGACCATAGTGCATATCCTTACCCAACTGACCAAGAAAAAGACGAGCTGAAGCAACGCACGGGTCTAAAACGAACCCAGATATGCAATTGGCTTGCCAACGCTCGGCGACGCGGCAAAGTTCGAGCTCCTCCGCGCAGCGGTTCTCCAGCAGCGCCCGGAGCAGTGGATATCCCCGGACAACAGCAACGTCGAGACGTCGCAACCATGACGCCTCTTGAACGTTGGAAGCACTCCCCTCCCGAAAACGAACCCGCTGCCACATCCGATATTATTCGAGCTTTGAACAATACATCCCTAGATCCTGAGCGGCCGCGCTCGTTTCATCCAGGTCACGTGCGTTCCCATTCTCGGAAGACTGGGTCCAGCAATGACTCAAGCCATGACAACTCCAATTTGTTTAATGCTCCATCAGTCAGCAGTCATGAAACCAGTCAATCGGCCAGTCGCTCTTCCTTATCCGATCTCTCTTTTGCGTCCGCCTTCTCACACCGTTCCTCATTGGGGTCGTTTGGCTCGATGGAACGGAAGGAACGGCGTCGTCGTCGGAAGCCCTCACTGCCTGTCAACCCGTTCAACCAGCAGAAGACCCGCAACGCCCGAATATTTCAATGCACCTTCTGTACAGATACCTTCCAGACCAAGTATGACTGGCAACGCCATGAGAAGTCGCTTCATCTAGCCCTCGAGAAATGGACCTGCTCGCCGTTTGGGGGAGTCGCCTTTATCGGTGGTGCCCATCGCTGTGTGTTCTGCATGGCCGTTGGCCCAGACATGGACCACCTGGAGTCACACAACTACAGTGCCTGCCAAGAGAAAACATCTGCGGAACGTTCCTTCTATCGGAAGGATCATCTCAATCAGCACCTTCGGCTCATGCACAATGTCAAGTTTATCTCATCCATGGATGCATGGCGGAGTAGCATCACTGAATTGAAGTCACGATGTGGATTCTGCGGGATTGGCCTATCGACCTGGAAGGACCGAGTCGATCATCTGGCCTCGCATTTTAAGAATGGCAGCAACATGACTCAGTGGCGAGGTGATTGGGGCTTTGAGCCCTTTATCTTAGGCCTCGTTGAGAATGCCATGCCACCGTACCTCATTGGCCACGACCAGAAGACCCTCAATCCCTTCAAGCCTTCTTCTGCAGCAGGCAAAGCGCCCGGACTCGTGGTAGCGGAAGATGCCAATTGCTTCATTCGACTGAAACATGAACTCACTGCCTTCATACACAATCAAGTAGCTGCAGGCGTTGTGCCCTCGGATCAGATGATTCAGGACGAAGCCCGGATGATCATCTACGGCACCGACGACCGTTGGCACCAGACTTGTGCCGACAACCCGGTCTGGCTCAGCTTCCTGAAACGGGATACTGGTCTTGAAGTTGTTCCCGGCTCGGACCATATCCAGCTCTCTGACTTGGGTATGCAGCCCCCATTCGCCACAACGGACGGACTACGACAGCCGCCCGTGGAAACCAATTTGTTAGCACGGTCTGCCTGTCGTTGGCAGCAACCATTCAGTCCTATGGCTCCCCCTTCCGGGTTCCACAGCCCTGCGCTTCCAGGAACGAGCCGGTCCTCTGTCCCAGCAAGCGCACCTGGAAGCTCCATCGGTAGCTATGCCGAAAATTCTGGCATCATGCCCACTAGACCACAGTCAGGGTTGTCGTCTGACTGGGGAAGCAGTTTGTCTGCTGGACCGACCGCGTTCTCCACTCCGCTGAGCGCTTCGGTTGATCCATTCGTGCAAATGGGATTTGACCCAGAATTCCTTCAACAGTTGAATTCCCGGTACGATGAGATGCCCTTGGAGGAACTGCAGGGTCTGGGCTTCGGGGGCGACGGCGGAAGTGATAATGGTTTCCCATCCCATGAACAGGAGACACAGGTGGCAGTTTCGATGGCACAGCCACTGGCTCCGTCAAAGATGGCTTCGGCACCCATTCCTATACCCAGTCCCAAGCAAAACGAAGTGTACATGTCCGGTGCAGGTCCTGATCCGAACCACAGTCTGGCACAAGATCTATATTTTTCTGGAAGGAATGCCTGATTGGTGAAAGAAGAAGAGTGTTTGGCCCAAGAGATTGTCAGACGGACAGAGTTATGGTGGTAAAAGTCTCGGATTCTGTTTTTAATTAGTCATGCCATCGTCTTGTGAGCGTTCAAAAGGTTCTTAAAACTGACACAGAAGTTGAACCGGGCGATGTTTAGTCTTAATATAATCGGTTAAAAGAGGGATTCGATCCTTGCTTCGCACATGTCAGACGTAGGGCGCAGGGCGTGTAACCTTGAACTGACAGGCGTGCCACTTCCATTTGATTGGCTAGGTATCTTAGGTCTAGTATCCATTCTGGATGGCTGCAGTGAATGAATGAAATAAATTTAGTCAGTCATCATGAATGTTTTCATGGTTACTCACGGAGTACCTTGACGAGGGTTGGCTCGGGATTGTCGCGGGATTGCTTGCTTATCGGGGGAAAGGAAAGGGAAATCGAGTCGAGACGAGTCTATCTATTGACATCCGTGATTGACATGTGATTCTCTCGGAAGTGGACGCCGGGGCTTCTCGAGGGGATTTCCCCCCCCTCCAACGCAATGGAATTGGTACTCATGCACCAGTCGCTGCTACTTAACGGTCTGACACAGCCACGTGGTATTTCACCGTGGCCTGATAATATCAGTAGACCCAAAAGTAAACCAACAAGCGTATTTCAACGCTTTCCCGCCCGTCTGCGTATGTCTGACGCAGACGCTTTAGCCTTTCGCCCTTCCTCCTCTCCAGGTACTATTCATGGTCAAAGACGGCATTTGGCCGTCGATAATGGCTGTCATGGATGATCGAGCACCTTTACTTGACACAATGGTCTATCCTCAGGCGTTTACCATCCTTTTCCCCGTCATTCCAGCATCTCTTCGACGGCGACTTCCTAGCTTGTACTCTACAATTCAGCGATCGGTCAGCTCAGGTGTCGCGCCAAACTTCAAGGCGAGTACGACTGGCGAGCAACCGAGTGCCTCCATGCACTCGCGTATGCCGTCATCTTCCATTCCGGAATTGGAGTGCTATAAGACCCTGCCTGACCCACTCACCGGCGATATCTTCCCGCGGCCTGCGACAGTGGATAGTTCGAGCAATGAGCGAGACTCGTGCGTGTCGTCTGTATCAGGAAAGGCTCCAGACATGAGTGAGATCACTGCCTTTGAAGAGGGTAGATATGGGGATTCATTCGGCGTACCATCATCATCGAGGTACGAAGCGGAGTCCGGATTGCGATGGAATAGAGTGATACCTGGTTTGTAATAGCAAAACCTACCCCTCTTGATAGATCTGAGTTGGTCCGGATTATGCCCTGATCCTCCGACTACAGAAAGCTGAGTTCTCGGTGCAAGGTGATTCGGAATTCTGTTGTGCCAGAACTGACGCACTTTTATCATTAGCGCTGAGCCTTCTCCGAAACGCTGGATATGAAGCGCAACTGCCCCGATGCGACGGTCCCCTGGCCCGCTCGTTGTACATCACTGCCCTAGGATATCTGTTAGATGCTCTACCAGCAGAACTGACTCACGAAGAGATCGCAACCATCCGGCGTAACCTTCCATCAAGTCTCCAGTCATCCACATTGGTACCGGGCGATGCAAGCCAGCCGGCAACAGGGCTTATGAGTTCTGACGCAGAACCAGACACATATCATCGGTCTAATAAGTCTAGAAGGTCACTCCTGCATCGCTTGCTGGCGTTCGTTATTATTCAAGTCTTTCTCCTTGTGCGATACGTCGTCCCGTACCTGAAGCTACTCCTTGCGCGGGTCTATCAGTACGAGCGCTCTCATCGGGTCGCCGAACGTGTCATTTCAACTACGCTAGACACGGTAGATAGCTGGGGCAAACGAAGCATGAGCTTTGGGTCTACCATCCTGGGTCTTTATGAGGGGAGGGTGCGCTCGACTGTGATCAATATTACAGACTGGTGGGTGGAAGGTATCGCGGGTGGTATCTATGAGGGCGTGGGAGAGGGTATGACGGTTCTGGGGCTGATACAACCCCACGCAAAACTCGAGAGGGCCTCGATTCAAGCACTCAAGAGGAGGCTGTGAAATGACATTTCTAGGACATGAGCTTTGTAGGCAGGCTGTCTATGATTGCGGTGCACTTTTCTATTTGCGTTATTGGAGCACTCACTACAAGCGTTGAATTTGTGCAAGTATAGAGATAGACTACTTGACTCTTTGACAACGAACCAAGATTTTGCTTAGTACATACGTACCTAGTAAGTTACTGTCCGTACATACCTCGCTATATCCTTATCTGCCTTGAGGCACTGCAGGCGGGGGCGGATATAACGGGGATAAGGCGAGATCCAACAACTTCCCGAAGTTGACAATCGAGCCCGCCCCTAAAGAATGGAAAGCCAGACTAGATGGACTTCCGCCTCAACCATAAACATCATGTCGACAACCCGTTTACCCAGCATTCCATCCCTTCGAAAACAGCAGCTTCTTTTGGAATTGTCAGTCAGTCCATGATCAATCTGTGTCCAATCTTCGGCTAATTGCACCAGTGCAAGCTTGCAATATGCGGCCCCTCCGGGCACCTACGTGAGCCTCAGTCCTGGTGATCCAACGCTCTGGTCTGGTGTCATCTTTGTTCGCGCTGGTGAGAGATCTCTACACGTTCGGCAGGCCAACTGAAGCTTCATAACAGCTAACGAACATGCTTATTACTCGTCTGTTAAAGGTCCATATGCCTCCGCTGTCCTCCGTTTCCAGATTCGCTTCCCTGACTCCTATCCCGACATGCCGCCCATGGTCAACTTCGCGACCGACGTCTTTCACCCCCTGGTCGTGCCCCTCACCACTTACACCTTCAGCACAGGTGCCTCGAATGAAGATCCCGTCAGCGCCACCGACGATGAGCGCTTGCCCCCCGGCGGATTTAGTTTACGGCACGGGTTCCCGCACTGGTTCGGTCGGGCCAAACAAGGCGGATGCAACCCGTCAACAGCTCCATCCATCAGAGCCGTGAGCGTGCGCAACTCGACCATCAGCACTAATACAAACGGGGGAAGGAGATCCGATCCGCCGGCCGGCAAAGAACCTATACCCGACCAAGACCAAACAACCCCCACCTCGCCCGCGACGGAAGAGATCGACCCCCCTTCTCCGATAGTAGACCGACGATTCTCGGAAACGAGGAAGACCGTCCCCGTAGCAGTCCTTCTTGACTATATCCGCTCGACATTCGACGACGCGACTGTTCTGGACTCCTTACCATTGGAGGCGGCCGCGAACCCGAGCGCGTGGCATGCGTGGAAGGCGCACCAGAGGGGCAACGACAGTGCTACAGCTACCTCATTGGGGGGGATGAAGAAGGCTGGAAGCCCGCAAGCCAGGGCCCCTGGGGATTGGCACTGGGATGGGATTTGGGTGAGACGGGTGCAGAGTGAGGTTGAGGCTAGTATTTCGGATTCAACTCTGTATGGGGCTACGCGCGGAGGGGCGGATGAGACGGTATGTTATTCTATGTTTTTTTCTTCCTTCCAGCGAGGACTGTTGCTGACATGGACTGGCCATAGATTCGATTCACCCGTTTGGATAAGGCTACGCTCGCATCGGTGATGGAGAAAATCAACCCACGAACGGAGGAGGTGCATCAATAAAGCCTACGAGCTAGGTGCTTCAATATACCCATTGTACTACCATCAACCAGTTGATCTGAGATATCCCTACTTCCCATACATGATTGTTCATGACCTCCGGGATTTCATTATGGCTCCCGTTTTGAGTCGCTGTTCGCACCTTCCCATTCGTTGCACAGCAGCTAGCAACTCACCTCGGACCGTGGACCTTCCCAGTACCCTCAATTTCCAAACACCAGAACCAAGCATCCCAATCACCAGCCTCCTGTATATCCTATCTATGCAACTTTCATCACAGCTTACAAGCCTTGTGGCAATCGTCATCCAACCCCTCTCAAAGTTCAACCCACATCAACATCCAAACCATTCACCGCGAATCCCACCGACATAAGCTTTCCTGACACTTACAATGCTCACCACCTTCAGTGAGAAGCGAACCTTTTCCCCGTCCAACTATACGACAACGATCATCGTCTGTCTCCTCATCCTCGTCCCTATCGTTACAATCTGTTGCATTTTTGCCCTGGCTGTCGCCTGCTCCGAGTACTGCAGCTCCCGCAGCAAGCGTCGGTTCTTCAGAGCTGGTGGGAGCGGGCGAGGGGGAGGAAGAAAAGAAGGGACCGGACGCATCTTCTTTCGGGCGCCGCAGAACTCGCGCGATGGCGGCCCAGTACCATGAGCTGAGGATTTCGGTCTCGATTTCTCCTCGCAGAGAAAGTTTGAAAACAAGCTTGTGCGAAGGAATTAAAGCTTATAGCCGGAAGTCATCAGTTTCAAGGTTGGATTATGTTGCCTGATGCTCGATCTAGTCCGGGATGTGTGGGCTTCAAGGAGTTTCGGTATGTGATCAAGTAAGAGGAAGCAGAGGAGCGCGAAGATTCGGTGGTGGTTTGTCAACTCGCCTCCCTTGACACGATGCGATGCAGTTGTTTTGACGCCCAAATTTGCTGGAGTACGGCAGTCAATGTGGCCGTAGTCGGAGTGGATACTGGCAAAAGAACCTCCTTGCTCACTATTCTCTCCCGGCCTCACATTTGAAGAGTCTCTTCGATGATCAAGTGTAACTAAATCTGTTATGCATACAGAGGGATTTTGTGGAAGTATAACCATGGATAGAGGCAGTACCACAAAATGCGACACTTTCACTGTTAATTGGATATTCTCATATACTGGTATTCCCCTTCTCATTTCCTACGTGCCTCCCAACCCCAGCCTCAAGCTGGTCCTGTCCTTCTACGAAGTTCTCCAACCACGGCGCATCATCATGCACCGCCGTCTTGTCCCAGAGTGGCTCCCCGTCATCATTGAAATCCGCCCACTGGAAAAAGCTACACCCTTTCTTGCCCGGGGCATACCCCGCATAGCACATCCACATATACCGGCCCCGGGTCTCGCGTCTGCGCTGCACACAACGCAGAATCGTATGAGCGCCACATCGGCACCGGGGCGTGTACCGCGGGTGCAATGAGTCGCGGTACCACCGATACGTGACATTGATGCGCCGATTCCCCGCCAGCGGATGCGGCGAGATGGTTTGTGCCGGAACAATGGCGTGCTTCCATTCCTCTTGCATCTCAGCGTGCATGACCAGCAGCGAGTTGTGCGGAAGGTGTATAGAGATTTGACCCTGAGCGTCTGCCCGGGATGGTGCTAATGCTGATGCTGATGCTGGTGATGACGATGTCGCCGGTGCTTTGCGAGAGTTGTTGTGTGCTTCCAAAGGATTCGGTTCCTTCGGTACCTTGGCCGGAGTGGAAGTCTTCTCCGCTGTATGCGCCGAGATCCGTCCTTCGGAAGTATCTTCCGGCGCCCCCAGGTCTTCAGCATCATCGTCGTCATGGTCGTCCATGGAAACAATCCTTCGGACACGAAACTCCCGCTCAACACCGAGACTCAAGCTTCCGATCACGGCCCGCGGGCCGAGATAGGTCAGTTCATCCGAGTGGTATCCAACCGCCTCCGTGGGGCCGTCGTAGCAATTCACAAAAGCCGCATTGGGCATCCACTCCTTGGGGGACTGATACTTCAGCTTGCGGCCGCCCGGGTAGACGGTGCGGATGCGGTGCTGGATCTCCGCGTTGACCGCCTGCTGGACCTTGCCGGAGACCGCGCGCAGGTGAGGGGTGGTCTGCCGGACGGTGGCCCGGTAGGTGCCGCCGTAGGTGTACTCGGAGGTGTGCTGGCGGTGTTGCTCGGGGGTGGCGACGTAGATACTGGCGGAGTGGGGGCTCTGGACGGTGCGGTCGAAGAGCTGGAATCGGTAGCGCGAGAAGTGCTGCGATTCGTCGAGGAGCTCGAGGAGGAGCGCGTTGGCTTGCTCCGCGGGCAGGAAGTTGTGGATTATGGTGCAGGGCGTGTGCGCCGCGATGTCTTCCGGGGAGTATAGATGCAGCGTCTTGCCTTTTCGGGTCAGCGATCGCTTTTTGTCCGGGTGGTGGGATATTCGCATGTGGGCATTTAAGGAAGTCTGAATGGCGGGTGTGGCGCCAGCCGTTGATCGCCTTTTGAGAGGGTACAGAGAGGCTTGAGCTTGGATTGTGGTGGTTGCCGTCTCGACGCAGCCGCCAGTGGAGAGTAGAATCTCCATCAATGCATCTAGAGCCATGTTCGGGAAGAGTGAGGCCAGGCGCGCGAGCTTCATATCGGTCGAATCTTCGTCCGAGCAGGTGGGCGCCGGAGGACTCCGGGCCCGTTTTCTGGAGAGATACCGATCCATGGTGTACACTCCTCTTAGAAAGCCAACTATTTAGACTATCACAAAATAAAAAGGACTTGTATAATTGTCGAGCACGAAGGGATTGAACGATTACAAAGCGATGGGAGGAAATGGATATCCTATCACCACGTGATTGCTCTCAATATGGCCAATGAGCTGGCGTGCTCCTTTGCGCGATAAGATCCATACTGGAAGCCTTGTCGATCGATTTGTCAGTAACCACTGCATCGACGTTGATGGACCTCACTCGATCTCTACTTGGTACACAGTATCTAAAATTTAGACTTGATCAAGCTCCGCAGTCATAATCATGATACTCTCAATACCGTTTATATAAGAATACTCTATCTATCCCAGCTCTATACAACCGGTTCCTAACGCCAACGATCTATACGAGCCAAAAGAGCCCAAACTCCAAGAGACATGAATCCACCCATCAAGACCACTGACTCTCTCCCAGATAAATTCTGCCAGAGCGATGAAACCGGCTCAACCCATTTCCAAACCTCATCCCCTCGAGCACCTCCACCACTGCCAAGAGCGCCACCTGCGTCCAGCCGGGGTACTCTCCGTCCGCGGGGTTGGAGTCCCGCCTCCTCCGATCCGGGAAATTCTCCTCCACCATGATGACCGGACATCGGCCGTAAGACATCTCCCCGGATCCCTTCTCGCTGCCGTCTTCTGCCGAGCTCCCCCTCGCCTCCTCGTCCGTGTCCACCTCGTCCTCCTCCTTCGTCGTCATACTCTCCAAAGCCCGCAGCACCTCCTCGTCCACCACCAAACACACCCGCAACCGCGCCGGTAGCTCCATCAGCGGCAGCGCCAGGTCTGCGCGCTTCCAGTCGTGGAACGCGCGGCGGACGGCGCCGATCTCCGCTCCCGCGTACCGCGTCTCGTCGCTGAAGACCTTGCAGGCGTAGCTCGTCTCGAGGAGGTGCCGCTGCTTGGGCGTGCCAGGGAGCCGGCGCGGGATGGCCGCCTGGACCTCGTAGGACAGGGCGCGCAGGTACACTGGTAAGAGTCGGTCCGAGCGGGCGCTGTAGGCTGTGCGATAGACGACGGGGCCCCAGGTTAGGGCCAGGAAGTCGCGTTCTGGGCTCGGGGGCAGCGAGCGGATGCCCGGCTGGGCGCCGATGTTGTAGATCTCTGTCGTGAGGAAATTGGCGGCTGGGGTTGGGGATGATGCATGGTTTAGGGGTTGGTCGTTGTTGTTGTCATCGGTCCAGGCTGAGGGCATGGTGGTGGTGGTGGTGGTGCTGGTTTTAGGAGAATGTGTGATTAAATGAGTGTGATTAAGTGAGTGTGCTTAGACAGGGACAGAGGAGGGGAGGAGAATTCATGAGAAAGGCCATGGTGAAGATTTACCCTTTGGGCCTCAAAGTTTAATTCTGGCCCTGATGGCGTCACAGTGACATCCTTTCTATTCTAGAAACACAGGAAGTGCTAATTGACATTTTTTAGAATGGTGAGGGGAATGATTGTGTCTAGATGAAGATGAACACCCTGATTACTTTTGATATAGTTCAGGTCCAAGAATCGATAGGCGTGCATGTGCCAGGTTATAACCCCGACCAGGTCAAGATCGTCGGACTGCCGAACCTCGGCTCTTCTTTATCGCTCTTTCCTTCCCCCCCCCGCACTAGTTGGACTCGCGCCGCTTTTGGCTCAGTGAGCGGCACTACAACAGAACCTGGAGGACTCGGACTCGGCCTCATCTTCCCCCGCACCACAAGATTATCACCACTTCGAATTCCTTTCCTTCTCTCTACTTCCTCCGAGATTCCCGCTTTTTCATCTACGCCCTCCCACCCTCCATCTCCGCTCCTCTCCGCCATGACCGCCCGTCCTTAATTCCTCCAATCATCTCCCCGCACCGAGACCACCGGATCTAGTCCCCCATCCGACAAACCTACAGCAAACAACAACCACAACAATGCTTCACTTCCGCACCGAGGGCTTCAACGGCTGCGCAGTCAAATACTCTCCATTCTTCGACAACCGCCTGGCGGTCGCCGCCTCCGCCAACTATGGCTTAGTGGGCAATGGACGACTCTTCATTCTCGAATTGACTCCCCATGGCATTGTCCCCGCCAAACAGTACGCACACCACCTTCCCTTTTCCCTTTTTCCTTTTTCCTTCAGCATCTCAACTGAAAACCATCCCCCATAAACTAACACAACCCACCTCACAAAACAAAAGCTTCACGACCCAAGACTCCCTCTACGACCTTGCCTGGTCCGAGATCCACGAGCACCAAGTCCTGGCCGCCAGCGGCGACGGGAGCATCAAGCTCTTCGACACGAGCCTGAACGACTTCCCCGTGCAGAACTGGAAGGAGCACAACCGCGAGGTGTTCAGCGTGCACTGGAACCTGGTGGCCAAGGACCGCTTCAGCTCCAGCAGCTGGGACGGCACGGTGCGCGTCTGGTCGCCGCACCGCCCGCACTCGCTCCTCACCCTCCCCACCCACAGCTGCACCTACGCCGCCAGCTTCTCGCCGCACTCGCCCGACCTGCTCGCTTGTGTCACCTCGGACTCGTACCTGCGGCTCTACGACCTGCGCACCCCGGCCTCCGCCTCCAACCATCTCACCTTACAGATTCCGATCCATGCAGGTGGTGGCGGAGCAGGAGCAGGGGCAGGGGCAGGAGCAAGCATCATGGCGCCGCAACCGGGGGCGCCGCCGCCGTTGATGGCCGGTGGCTCCGCCCCCGCCGAGGCCCTCACGATGGATTGGAACAAGTATCGGCCCTCGACGCTGGCCACCGCCGGGGTGGATCGCACCATCCGGACCTTCGATATCCGGGCCCCGCACCAGGGCCCGCAGACCGTCATGCTGGGTCACGACTACGCCGTCCGCAAAGTCGCCTGGTCGCCGCATCTGTCCAACGTCCTGCTCAGCGCCAGTTATGATATGACCTGTCGCGCCTGGACGGATCAGTCCCCCGCTGGGGTCGTCGGGGATGTCGACGTGATGCGTGCCGGGCATGGCGGTCCCAACATGGGAGTGGAATTGGGGCGAATGGGCCAGCATACGGAATTCGTCACGGGGGTGGATTGGTGTCTGTTCGGGAGTGAGGGGTGGTGTGCCAGTGTCGGATGGGATGAGAGTCTATATGTTTGGGACGTACGGGCTGTGATGGGTGGTTGATTCCGGTTTGTCCTGAGCCACCTCTTTTTCTCACTGTCTTTTCTTCTTCTATATCATGGATATATGATATTAGACTGCATGATACCAACATTTTTGTCACCTTTTGATTATATACTTTTTCTATGCTTGATTTACGTTCATTGTACTTCATTTCCCAGTCATTTCATCTTGCATACCGTATTCAGTTCCAAGCCTCTCTATCATGGATCCGAGGCACTCAGCCCTATATCCGACTCCAATTTTGAGCTTTCCTCCGATGAAGAGGAAAAACCCGGGTATATATACCACATCATAGTACGTAGCAGGCCGTACTAACAGCACCTAAGTGCGATGACATCGAGGACAAAATAGAAAAATAGAAAACTCCCCGCCAACAAAGAAGAAAAAGAAAAGAAACCTCCTCTATTTGGCCAACCGCGCCTCGACCTTCTTCCGCTCCGCATCCCGCACGGCCGCGATCTCCTCGCGACTGGCATCGAACGCCACATGCACCTGGTTGAAGGGGTTCTCCTCGCTCTTCTCGAACTCCTTCCGACACAGCTCGACGCGCTGCTGCCGGCGCAGGCCGGGGTTCTCCGCCTCGATCTCGGGCAGCCGGCGGGCCTCGTACGCTGCGTAGGCCGCCTTGTACCGCCGCTCCGGGTGGCGGTCCACCTTGCCGGCGTCCTTGCCCGTCAGGGAGAGGGCGTCCAGCGCGTTGTCAATACCCGACGCATTCAGCGCCGAGGCCTTGCTGCCGCCGGCCGGCTCATCCAGCTGCGACAAGTCCAGACCCCGGGTCTTCTTCACGGCCTGCTTGGCGCCGCTGCCCTTGGGCTTCGAGGGCTGCGAGGCTTCTTCGGCGGCTAGGAGGGCGTCGCGTTCGGCCTTCTTGCGGGCGGCCTCGGCTTTCTTGGCCTCGGCGTCGTCCCTGCGGATTGAAAATAGTTCGCAATTAGCTTGAGTTGTTGGGGAAGAAAGGGGGGGGGGGGTGGCGATGAGTGAAAGAGCGAGGGAAAGGACTGGGGAAAAACGCACTTCTTAGCACTGCCCTTCGCTCCCTTCTGCCATTGCTTGTCTTCTTCGGCGGCGCGCTTGGCGTCCTCGGCGGCCTTCTTGCCGGCGGCGGCTTCGGCTTTCTGTTTGTTTCATTTAATGTGTGGTTAGTTATAGTCCTCTAGAAGTATAATTCTCTCTGAAATAGAGAGAGAGAAAGGGGGGTTGTGTGGATGGGAATTCAACATTGTTCCAGGCGAGAGGCAGGGAGGGGGCGGGGTAACAAAATTAAGTGTATAACTTGGGACCGTGCAAACATACGCGAGCCTGGCCAGCCGCCTTCTTGGAGTTCTCGCCGGCTCCGCCTTTCTTTCCGCCCATTTTTGGAGGTTGTTTGAGGATATATAGGTAGACTGACTGAGAGTGAGGTGCAGAAAGGTGTGATGAAAGAAAGAAAGGAAAGAAAGTCAGAAAGGAAGGAGAGGAAAGAGAAGGAAGATGGAGATGGATACAGATGGAAAAGCGGGCGGGCGGTCACTCAAGACTCGAGAGAAGATCGGAGATGACGAAGGGAGGGAGTCGTCCTATCGCGGCACTTCCTGGGCCGGGCGGTGGAGTCTCCCATGACTAACCACTTATCCGCGGTTTTGACGTGTTTGTTTGTTTTTCTTTTCTTCTCCCAAGCCCAACTCATCGATAGACTATCGGTCTCCAAACAAGGAACGGCACGCAAGAAAAGAAGTTCGATTATTAGTATTAGTACAAGGAATATACAGTAGTATGGATATCATGTATACACTGAAGCAAAGAAAGTTACCCTTGCCTCATCGCGTGGCCTTCACCGGCATTCGATGCTCAGTGGTATTGGGCCATGCGTCGACTCCATCAAGCAATGCGAGGGCCATGCCTCCGTTCTGATGCATCTGGAGATGGCAATGCATCAGGAATGGCCCTGGGTTGACCACCTGGTATCTCAGGGCTAACCAGGTAGGGCCTGCTGTCGCCGGTGGAGAGAAGAAAGTGTCTCGCATCTGAGGTGTGTCCAGGTTGAAGTTCTGCGGGATATACTGCATGGCCTCGGCCACTGACGAGTATGTGAACGTCTCCTGACCCGAGCCAATGACAAAATACTTGTTGGAATGCTTGTGGATAGGATGATTTGGCTGTCCAGCAGTCGTGATGTTGATAATGAGGTCTACCCAGGTGTTGTTCAGCGTGGATAATGTATACTGCGCTGGGATCGAGCTGCGGTTGTAAAGAACCGGGAAAAGCCCCTCATTCGATGACGCGTAACTGGCATTGTGCATCTTCCAGGTGTACGAGGCGTTGTATGGGACGATGTCAATGATATAGGTGTGGTCAACATCCACAGCTGGCGCTACCACGGGGAAAGGAACCACCTGGGTCTCGTTCAGGAACACTGTACTGGCCGTGGCATTGCTTCCGACTTCGGTGATTGAAGGCTGAGAGACCTGGTTCGAGCCGCTGGAGGCATTTGAGCCCTGCTTCTCGTAGGACATGATAGCCGTGCCATTGATGGCCTGAGTCGCGTAGTTGTTGGCGATACGGACAGTATAGTCAGCAGCGGGCTGGTCCAACTTGACAAGAACCGAGTATCGTGCCCCGATCGGTACGGTGACAGCGTCGACCAGCATGGGCTCAACATAGCGGCCGTCCACCGCATAAACATACATGGGATGCTCGTCAATAGAGAACACCAGGGAGGTGACACCTCCCATACTGATCAGGTCATAGCTCTGATAGCCAGCGCCCACGCTTAGAACTTCGGTAGGACCCTCGCTGGCCGTACAGCCTTTGTAATAGCCATCTGGAAGCTTGCTGGTATCGATCGGATATGCCGGGCCAAAGAGAACTTCGGCAGGAATGCATCTAGTCTAAGTTAGTCGCTGCAAATAAGTCTCTGCTTCGTTAACCGAGAACCGTACCCCATATCAGTCAAAGTCGCATTTCCCAGAATCTCTTTCTGAGCAGCCGTCGTGATCGCATTGATATGCTCCTGCGGGGGACAGAACACGGAACCTTTGCCATTGACCAGAACGGCACTGGTGCAGATGCTTTCCACGCCCGATTCCTTCTCTAGCTGTAGGATGTCCGTTGAATCAAAGTGCTTCCAATCAGAGAGCAGGATTGGCTGCGTGTTCTGTTCCGCATCCAGCATTGCCTGCAATTCGTCTGGATCATTGGTGATTAAATCGAACGGTCTCTCCACCGACTCCGCCGGTTCGATATAGATTGAGCCGTACAGCCCATCGTCCAGCAGAGCTCGGGAGTGAGAGTGATAGATATAGGTGCCATAGTCATTGGCCGTCCAGGTGTACAGATATTGTTCTCCAGGCTGGATGAGTTCCTGGGTCAACCCGGGGACCCCGTCCGACCATGGTGTGCCTCTTTGCTCAATACCTGTGAAAGTCTTCATGAGTAAAGTTATGTCCTCCGATTGCACGAGACTGTACTAACCATGGAAATGAACAGTCGTCGCCATAGGCATTGAGTTGTTCACCAGAAACTCCACGTCGTCACCCTGCTTCAATTGCAGGTGAGGTCCAGGGAATTGCCCATTACTGAGAATAGTTTTGCGCACGAATCCAGCGACCTCATGATCCTCATATGTCAGATCGATCTGAAACTGAACAACGCGAGCAGACGCCCACTGGGCCAAGCCAGGAATCACTGACAACAAGGCCAGCTTGCTGGAGGAGAACTTCATGGCGAAGAACAAGAGAAGAAAGATACCACAAAGACACCGCGCACACAAGGAGTATTCAAGAATCCGATCGGGGAAGGGAAAGGAACCTTATAAAAAGTATGAGAGTAAACGCCCTGCGAATAACCTCAAGCCGGAGGCAACGATTGCTTCTTCGCCGTTCCTCTTCGTGGCATTCTGCGCAACAAGACATTCCAGCTTTATAGATGCCATGATAGCGATTCACAGCGTCCGCCCGCCCGCCCACCGTGTATCTTGAACTAGATGTCAAGTCCAGGCCAAGGCAAGTAAGGGATCCTTCAATGCCTCAGCGTGAGTTCATGATGACCTGCCATATGCGGAGAGGGGCTGGAGGGATTTGACTCGAGGAACTAGAAACGGACGTAGAAGTAGGAAGGCCTGCTGGTTGGCTATGATGAGATGCGAGATCCGCAAAGGTTCATTCGGGAAAGCGCTGCAAGGCGTGCAGCAGTTATCTTGACAAGAGCCTCCCTTTGGAGCTGTTGGGGTTAACCCGAGGGCAAAAGAGTAAAGAGCTGGAAGATGATCGGCAGGCGGGAAGCCGAAATACCTTTATTGAATCCTATTCTTGATGGGTTCTCACTAGAACGAGTCATGCCAATCCCACTTATCACACCGCATGCCTAGCACCCTGGCAATTATTGTCTAGATAATTGGATTGATCACACTTAATGAGTAGGCTAATTCACTATTTGACTTGGCCAAGGAATGCGGCAAACACTAGATACAGTACATGGGCTTAGAAAAGAATCTTGGAAGAGTCAGAAAGAAACAAGTGGAGAACAGGAAAAGCTTGCAACAACCACCAGAATGATGAGCCAGAGTGCTTTACCGCACAAATCCACACATCAATCAACCTCATTTCGGTCATGGATCGCATTTCTACATATACCATCATCGTTATCATCATCATATCATTTGTTTGCCCATAAGTTGCTCCGTGATCGGGCTTAAACTATCCGGGACTGGTGTCATCTCTTTGATCGAGGCAATCCGTCTTGTCGATGGCTCCACAACTGGGTAGAGAGCCTCGGGCAATCGCTGTTGAGCCTGGGAGTGAGTGAGAAGACTTTTCGCCCGCGAGCTTGCATCCGACTCATGATGTGATCTGTCAGGTTCGGACATTGCAACCTGGGCGATTGCTTCAGACAAGGCAACAGCTTGAGAGCTCATGCTCACAGATTCTGAGATGTCACCCACACGCGTGGGAGTTATTTTAGCAACGGCCTCTAATGAAACAGTGGACTGAACGCTCTCGCCCACTGGCTCTGATATATCGCGTGCAGACACGAGCACCGGCTCAGCGACAGTCGCAGATATAGCGGGAGGGAGAACGCTTATGCTCGCTGGATCTGGAATGCTACTCACTGACAGAGGCGCTGTCTCAACGATGATCTCGCTGTTTGCGCTCTCGGCGGCCTGACCCACGCAGGCAATAGGAACGTTGCGAATGGTGTTATCAGCTTGATTGGTTGAAGTGACAGGCGGGTGCAGAGGTTCATGTTCCATGAAATCATGAGGGAATGGACGGAGAGCCGAAGGTTTCACTTGGGAGCCCGACTGGATGGCGAAAAATACCATCAGGATGCTCAGAATGGCAATGGCCACATTGCGCCGGTCGCTAGCCAACACGCGGACGTAATTGACCAACAATGTTTGTATGTCGATATCATCATTCATCTGCGGAGGAAAAGACGGCTTCGGCGGTCGGCTTTCGGCTGATGCAGGCTTGTTGATAGCCGGAGGCGACTGTGTTTCGGTTCCGTCGAATGAAAAAGACCTCTGGTCAGCTGTGATTGAACTTGACGTCCGCGCATGCCGGGCCTGCGGGTGTGTGGGAATGACCGGATCGTTGCCGGGCACCTGCAGCTGCGGCACCTGCAGTTGGGGATCCAGTTGGCAGGAATAACAATCATCCCCCATGAGCTTCTTTTCCAGCTCCCTGCGGATCTCTGATGGCAGCCACAAGCCAACCTCAACGTCCACCTTCTCCATTTCCTTCCAAGCAGCAGCCCAAGCTCCAGCTCGCATCAGTCCATTGGCTGCAAACACATTGATCTCCCATTTCCGCCCGGCATTGCCGTGCCGGACCACATGACCGCCACAATCTGGGCATGCCTCCCCTTCCTCTTCGTCTGTTGCGCTGTCCTCCTTCTCCAAACGGTCTTCCTTTTCTGACTCAGCTTCGTCATGCCCGATAAAATGACCATGGTCGAGGCGCGAACGCTGCAGCTCCAGGCTCTCCAACAGCCGCTCCTCAAGCAAGTCATACAGATCTTCCGGATGCGAGATCAGTACGCCACGCTCACGGAGCACACCGGAGCCCACCTTCTCCTCTAACAGCTTCCATCGACGCCAGAAGACCGGGGGAAGCACCTCTCTGACGATCTTCTGGTTGTGAAAGGCCGCTGCGCCTGGGACTGGAAGCGATGGTGGTAGCAAGTTACAGTGCAACAGGACAAGCGGGTACTCGTCCTTGGCTTTCTGCTTGCTGGCCGCTGACCGTGTAGGTGAGTAGAACTGAGATTTCCGCAATGGCGACGAGCCCACCGAGCGCATAGAGGCGTCCGAATAGCGCTGGTGGGCCGCCCGACGCTTGGGCGGGGTCAAGAAGGCATCATCGTCCCGCTCATCCTCGGTATGCATTTGCATTGCCTTGACCGAGCTTGGCTTCCTGAACGCAGCTTCCCTCAGCCGGGTCGCAGAGAGCGGCCGTAAGGTCCCATCTATCCTTCCATGCGCATGGATGCCATCGTGACTGTCCCACGGATGAGACTGTCTGTGCCCAGGTGCTTTCACCCCCTCTGCCATGTTTGTGTACACCGATGGAGGTATCGACGATATCGAAGAGCGGCTGGACTCTCCTGAGCTCATACAAGCCTGGTCCTCATCAAGGTATGCGCCGAGATTCTCACTGGAGTGGCGTGTCGACGATCCGTCAGATTGATATCCGTCTTGAATCAGCATCTGCACGTCTCCCATAAGAAAACTGCCGTCGTCATGATGCTCGAACCCTTGCGAAACGGCTCGATTTGCTGGAGAGGTGGAACCCGGGGAGTGCGCGATATCGTAAGGAGTTGAAGAGGGGCGTAGTGATTCCTCGTCTGGGAGGTTTGCGTAGTCAGTAAATTGACTGCCATAAGGATGGTTCTCCATTGGTGACCTTGGCGGGTCAGACGTCCAAAAAGAAAAAGAAAAAAAGCAAATGCAGGAACTGGAATGTGAAAGACTAAGAGAAATGGTATCCCACTTGTTATCGGAGCACCAGTAAGAATCAGCACAGTTTGCCCAATAGTTATAGTTCAAAGGTTCCGGGGATTGTGGATTCGTGAAACAGCCACAGCCTAGGTATTCCGTCACTTGGGATCGAGATCTATCACAGAAGATGCCTCTAATGTGAGAAGTCAAGGATACATGATTGCGATTGTTATTTCAAAAGAGTCTCCTGCACGATGTTGATCCTCATCAGTCGGTGTGTTGTTAGTTGAGGCTTGACCGCCTGGTTGTGCAGGGCAACCACTAACTAAATCGAGTTACTAGATAGACTAACTTCATTACTAGTAGGCAGTTTAGGTTATAGACCACTAGACCCGTAGCTATACAACCCTCTGTCATCAGGCTTGCTGCACATATCCACAATTGAATGCTCAAGGCCTACTGTACATAGACTATGACGGTCGCGGGCAGTGTGTCTCTTCTGACTGTTCTATTACCATCCTCAATAATAACTCCGTACTTGTTTACTTCAACCCTTTTGTCTCCTCTATCCCAACTCTCCTGTCCAAAATGCCGCCCCGCAATAATGCTATATATTTATGTACTGAGTTCAATACCAGGCGTGAACAAAGATCATGCTCAAATATGACCCATAAAGTGAAATTCTACTTCTCCTAAGCCCAAGGTTTTGAATCACACCTCTCAACCCCCTGGTTGCTACCGCAGCAACCTCAATAGCAAACCAAGGGATGGCTGTTTACTGATATCGGAGACTAGTAATCTTATCAAGCAATCTGGACACGTCCCAGAGCGACATAAGTATATCATAAGTAGGAATTCCGATCTTATCAATCGGCCAACGAATCAATGAATTAGTCAATGAAGGCGTATCCTCTCACCCTCTGTTGAATCAAAGAAATTACCTTTATGAATTATGTGGCATTAGGAGTCAAACCAGCCAAAACCTTCCAGTATCATTTGTGTCACGATACTGGGTTGAGTACTACTGGGCTGAGTACTTCCAACGGGAAAAAGTTCCTCGGCAGATCGCCGTTTGAATACATGGGCTTGAGATAGTCTCAAGCTGCGGCACATTCATCAGTACCATCAATACGAAATGACTCTTGCATTCTCTAGTGTCAAGTATGTCCAGCTACTATACGTGGCATCTTATCACATTCAGTATTGTGACTTGTCAACTGGTTAATAGGTGAGGTGCTTGACGCTGAGTTGACTTGCGCTGACTGCCCGAATAGTTCCTTGGTGGATAAAAGTCGATTGAAAGAACATAATCTCTATTCAGACCTAAAGACTCACTACTGATCATATTCTTCAACCTGAAATTCCATATCGTTTTGGCGGAGCTGTCAAACCCAGATCCTTTGGAACTCGTCGCGCCGATATGCTGTAGTAACGGCGGAACCACAGCCCAGCGCGTCCAGCCCTGGCTGTCCGCAATCTTTTCAACCATCATATCAAGCAACCAGTCAGTCGTCAAGTCAGTCTGCTCAAGGAAGCGGGGTACCATCGCTCGGGGGAAAACAAGACCCTGCGAACAACATCCGTATTTGTTCATTTCATGGACTCCAGGGGCAATGGGCCACATTGTTTGCCGGCCGGAAATGAAGAAAAAAAGAATCGCACCGAGGATAAGCAGGAACGATGCAAGCCAGATGGCACTGGTCGGGAATCGACGGAGCTGCGTTGTGAACACTCGTGCCTTGAAGACAACCATTGTTCCTGTAAGTAACGCCCAGAGAATGAAGGACCATGCCAGGTATTGCGGCCATTCTTCCGAGTTCCAGCCTAGGAGGCCATCGACGTAGCACAGGCGGAGGTAAATCCACTCTTGACCTTGACGTGCAGCCTGCTCATGCACTGTGTCCAGAGCTTGCAAGGCAGATGGAAACCAGCCATTGACTGCCAGGGTATCATCTTCTATCATCACGACATAGTCGGCACCGGTCTCATAGCAGTCCTTCATCAAGGTTGTGTAGTCGTAGATGGTCTTGTTCCGGTACCAGCCACCTTCCTCCCACGCTCGTAGCTGTCCGAAGTCGGGGTCATCTTGCGAATACGTTAACCGACGATCAGGTAGCGTTTCCACCCACTTCTCGGAGAAGATAGGGTGCTCTTTCGGGTCAGTGTTGCCAACACGAAGATATAAACGCATCATGTTTCTTTCGGCCTCAGTGAGCCCATCCAGGAGAGACGCCACTGTCAAGCCAACATATTGATCACCCCTTCGACGAACCGTTACTATTCCCACGCACACCGTTGAGGGTCCCTGGTACTCTCTCGTCAGAGACGCTAGGCTGCTGGCGGAGGCAAGAAGCGCCTCTGCTTGGGCAATTCGTTTGGACGAGTATTGTCTCTGATAGGCACGGCTGGGGCTGAAGAAGAAAGACGTGGGATCGCGATAGCTCGAGCTATGGTAGTAGCCAAGGAAGACGAGACATAAGATGAGATAAATGCAGCCTATAATGCTGACCGCAGAGAAAGAGAGTCGGCCGAGCTGATGATACAGCGGAATGTGTTAGCCATTCGTGCTTGCCATAGAGAACGAATAGTTTGATGATGGAAGGGATGAAGTAAAGAGGGCCAGAGTAGGGACAATAAGAGTGGGTCCGTGCACAAAGCGACATGGCTAGTGCGTATTGTCAATTTCGAGCTAACCTGTAAAATTAGACTGTTCGTAAATACATTACAACAGTTACCGCCCAAAGTCTTTTCCCTTCGCCCTGTGGTTAAATGTTTCATTCGGAAATTTCGGATACTCAAGTTGAAATCAGACATACAAGGTCTTTTTGACAGGACGCGCCGGGCCTCCTGAGTGGAGTGCGGACTCTGTGGAGTCCCCATGCCAAGAGTCCAACAGATGCAGCCAATGTCTTCTACAATCTACCTACAGCTACAGCCATAGCACACACCTAAAGGATGTCTTTTAAGCGTACGAGCGCTCAGGTTGCACGCGAGCTGTAGTCACCTTCGCCACGCCAAAGACCAACCACTCAGTAGAATGTGATCAACTCCAAATACTATCCTGTGTAGATGATGTGTTCCTGCTTGTATGATGCTGACTTTGCCGTGTGGACGAGTGATTGAGCAAGCTGGTATGCAGGTCTGCTAATTCAGTCCCAGAAGCATAGCCGCGGACTTCAGCAGAGGGCGTGTGCGCGTTGAATACTAGTTCAATACGGTCTTGTCCACAAGAGTCAGGAGCGTTCGCCACACGAATCCTTGCTAGGTGAGCGTAGGTCTTCGAGCTCTTTATTCCTCCTCCAGTATTTGTGAGAACTTCAGACGCTGGCGGTGAGTTTTGCGCCAGAGCAATGAGCTCACCGACTGAACTACAGCTACCGGCGTGTGTCTTTTGAGAATGAGGTAGATGATGTGGCCAATAGCAATCGCCATGTGAGCAAAGAGGACTGACATGGCGAGAGTACCAGCAAGAGAGCTCTGAAGTGAAAAGCCGCTTATCTTGAATTCTGCTTTGAACGTCACTGATTCGCTGGGGGTGAAGGCGGTGGTAGTCGAAGGTTGAATCGCCACTCTGTCTTCGATAAACACTCGATAGCTTCCCGTTCGGCTGAGGCCATCGAAAATGACACTGCAGACAATGGCCTCCACTAGAGAGACCCTCTGCCAGCTTGAAATATCGTTGGCAAGCCAACCATCGAGAGTTATCTCATCGGCCTTTGCATCAGTTGCCAAGCCTGCATTTGAAAGGATGCTTTCGATGGTCGATGGTCGCCAAGTGCTGGCAGTATCAGTTACTGTAAGGGGGCTTGGAGGAGTCAATAATTGAGCCACTCATCACCGAATGCAACTCGGCCATTGGTTGCGCTGTAAGAATCCGGATTCCATGCGGGAGAACGATCGTCATACTGGATATTCCACGGATACCAGCCGGTCCAGAAAGTGTACTTGTCAGTGAAGACCGTTGCAGGAACCCAGCCAGCCTGTACTGTACAACCGATTGCTATTCTAGAGATGCTACCCTCCTTAGTGGCTTTCCAGGGGGTCTGGAATAGTCCCCCAATGCTAGCAGCACCAAATCTGGGCGGAAGATGAACCCATTGAAATTGCAGGTGGCCATTGGGAGTGGAATTAAGACTATCCAAATCGAGTGGTAGGCTATCGGCAAAGTCAAACCGACCATGTATTGAAGGAAAATACACTGTGGTGTCTGAGGCACGTAGCTTTTGTGGCGCTGCACAACGGGCCACAGTGATAGCTTGTTTGAACGTAGCCGAAGCAGTACGATCATCAATTTGACTCTGCGAAAGACCTTTCTGTACACTGAAGGCCCGCCACCAATCTTCCGCAAGCCGCTGCAGCATCACCACGGTTGCTGCATGCGGCTGTATTAGCGATGTTCTGCCATTTGGCTCTTGTTGAATGTCCCCTAGTGAATATAGGGGTGGGATGAGAGACAGGGGGCTGGAGACTAGCCAGTAAAACCAAGACCCGGAAAGTTCCTTTGCATAGGAGCGGACATTCTGGTTTTGAAAAGTGGTGCTGTTTATCGTTCCCCAGTGAGTCCACAACGAGTGAAATCCACCCGCCGGGCAGAATCCCAGAAGAGTCGAGTTCTGCTCACTGCAGAGTTGTTCGAGGTCTGGGATCTCTTTCGACAAGTCAGCAGGCCAATAATCGCTCTCTGATCCGTTCAAGAAGAACTCAGTATCTCCGGCGCTCCAGGCTTGTGATTTTGGAACCAATAGAACGGCACTCGCTGGCCCAGCAAGAGTAGCTAGCAGGCCTGCCACGACCACAAGACCTATTAGTGCAGCCTTGCGTGATCTCTCGCCGTGAATAGCCACATATCTTAAACCACCATAGAATTCTCTCGAGAAAAAAATATCCGAAGTTGTTGAACGCAAGCCCTGATCCCAAGAGACCCAAGGGGAGGCCACGGCCAAAGAGCAATTCATGGCGGACACAGTGTAGAATAGTTACACTCAAGCTTGCGACATTCATTATCTCATGAGCTTTCGCAGCTAACTGGAAGAGTGCCAGGTTTATATAGTCTCGGTTAGGAATGGGGACATCATGTCCGCTCCCTGATATGTCCCCTTGATGTTCAGTCCAACAACTGTAGATGACACGGCAATGGGAAGGAGATGCATTGCGCAACGTTGAAGCGCGGCAAGTATAGACCGCGTTATGACGACTTTGGGAGGTTCTTGCTGACTGGGTGGCGACGTGTTCATGATGGATGAAGGGATATTCGCCGCCGTCTCTTCTTGAAGCACCACTCAAAAAAGCGGCATGCCCGGACTAGCCAAGCTGACAGGCTTAGGTGTGATTGTAGCTCACGATGTGAGATGGGGTAAGATGTCTCCAGGAAATGCGGAAAGGAGGAGCTGAAGAGCAGAATTAGGCAATTGGATACTCAGCACCCTGAGCAGGCCAGCTTTCTAAATCCTTGTCGCCTAGGCAAGAATGACACGGGATGTCTCAGATAGGTCACCATGGATCACTCTCATGCCTCTGGTCAGTGGCAGTCCGTAAGATTCGATTTGGCAAATGGCACAAAGCAGTATCAATATTAGGTTCTTGATGTTGTCAGTATGGTTTCTGCTCACTATGCTCTTCGGGTTTTTTAGACACTGTCTCAGCGTTAGTCAGAGAATAATTCAATGCCGATATTTGCCCGTTCCTTTGACGCAGTAAGCTTCCAGCACACTTGGGCAACGCTGTACTCTATCTCGGTACAATGGCCTACTTTGAGACTCACGTATGACGAAGACAGACTGAAATGGATATATCAAATCAGTTGCAGGGAAAAGGCAGAAAGAGATTCATGTTAACGATTGTACAGGTATATCACTTGAACAAGCACCACATGAGAGAGGGAAAGAAGAATAAAAGGAGAAGACTAAAGAAAGACGAAACAAGAAAAACATAAAACAAACCCCAGTCCGCTGAATCGATAAACATTAAATGGTCCCAATGAGACATCAAAACTGACCAAAGCATGATTTACAAATAAACCCAATACTGCGAAATCTCTAGATCAAACAGGTCATATGCTTATATCCAATGCTTGTCGCTGAAGATATACGGACCATACAAGGAGAAGTACAAGCGCCTATTCGAACCCATTATCTGCTCCATAGCAATCCTTCTTGTTGTGGTATTTATAACGAACTCGAATTTGATCTCTGAAGTGGGTAGAACAGACCAGACCGTGTGTAAAAGGGTATAGATATCGTAGGGATCGTATGGTACGATAACAAGCTAATGTGGTCGAGGCGTTTCGTCATCCGGACTCAGCATGCCCGGATAATTTTGATTATCGCCAAAGTAATTGAGGACGTCCTGTGGAAGATATTCAAGCCATGGAAGTATCTCACCGCTGAAAGCGAAGGGAAGCTGATCATTTTGCTGGAGCATAGCCATATCAACGTCCTGGCTCTCGATAAACACATTTCCAGCATGAGGTTCGGCATCAGGATGCAGTCCAGCGCTGTGCACAATTAAGTGCCCGCTCCCTGTATGAGCGTCACTCACAGTAGAAGGGATGTTATAATTATAGACTTGAGCGTGACCCTCAAGCCCACATGCAGCAGAAGGCATTTGATGATTGAAAGCCGACCGTGAATTAGGTAGACGGGAGGTCGGACCGGGATAAGTCGTATTCAAACCAAGGAGAAGGTTAGCATCAGAAGTGGTAACTCTGCCGGAGGATGCCAGGGGTGAATATTGCGCAGTTGTAGAGGCCATTGATGGCCCCGGAGTCGCTTTTGTGCTCCGGGATGACTCTGTGGCCTGTGAGTATGAGTACGAAGTCTCACCACCATTAGGTTGAACAGGTATATGGGGGTAGCTATGGCTATATTGAGATGAATATGTCGGCTTTTCCGGGATAGGTTCTGTCTGTGCAGGCATCTGATAAAGAAGGCTTAGATTCGGCTGCGAAGAGTTTGTCGCACCAGTAAGAGCCCATCCAATAGCTCGAAGACGGTCAGCTCACACTGAGGTAGGGAGAAGCAAGTGATGAATCCTACCTTGACTCGGATCTATTTTTGGTGACCGCCGTCCTTCTGCTGGTGTATCTGAGCCCGGCGCTGATGGGTCAGCACCCACCGCATCATCAGACGATTGCGTTCGTCGCCACGGTTGTGCCGCGAGTGGCTGGACAGAAGATAGTCCGGCAGTACTTTCCATCTCTTCCACAGTATACAAAAGTGGATCCACGATTCCTTTGGCCTTTTGGTCTAAGACCGTTAAAATGTACCTTGTACCTTCCCAATAGGTCTCAAGCGCCTTCAATGCTTTGTAACATCTCTGGTAATTCTCTTTCGCAGCGGATGCGAGAAGAATGTGCTTAGCGGTGGGTTTTCGTTCAGAGCCGGTGGCCGGGTCTATGCTGGGCATCACAAATCCACTAGATTGATTTGTTAGAAGCGGTTGAATGGGAGGCGAACACGACCTCGATGATGGCGAGGAGTAATAAGCACTTTCCATCAGAAAAGCGCATGCAGCAATGTACATCGGCTGGCTCGTGAAAGGATTGCCAATGAAACTCTTTCCGTCAACAAGCTCTGAAAAAGAGAGGATGTCAGCAATGGTTTTGGCAGAGGACATCGACAATTCGCGGCTGTTTGGATATAGATGCTGAATTGTCCCTCCAAATGAATGAAGGAGCGTCGGCTGATGCAGCAAGACTATCAGGGTATGAAACCACTGGTCTGCGTCAGTACAGGAGGACTTCTCGGGGAAACTGGGCCAAGCATACGAAATGTAAAAGTATGAAATTTGTTCCTTCTTTCGCCTTGACATATGCTTGGAAGTTTGCGGCGTTAAAGTGGAGCCTGGGTGACAGGCGTTGGTATATTCCTGGTTCATAACCATGATTAGCTGTTGCGTGGTGAAACTCGAGTCCGAGGTATTATTACCTGTCAGGTCGCTTTCCATACCGGCCAGCACCTTCAGTGTGTCCGATGTTACGTGCTTGATATCCTGAATCCCATTGATGAGGTCTGTCACTCTGCCGTACAAGTGAATGATGCGAATAAGTGGAGGGAATGGTGCAGGCCAACCGTTTGGCAGCCTGGATTCGGATTGGAGAGGGAAACAGAGTTCAATCTCTTCATCGCGCAAGGTAACAGGCCTTCCGGTACCAGATGAGATCACTCGATCAAGAAAGAATATGCTCCAAAAAGAATCCACTCGTTCACGTTCCGAAGCACGTCGACCTTCCGCGTCGCGCGGCTGGCCCCTTGGTGTTGGGGAAGGTTGCGGTTCATCATACTGATCGTCTCTCAAATTTCCAGCTTGTCCAGTCAGCACAGCGTTTGGAGTTACCCCACTCTGACCATAATTGTATTCAAGACCCTGGACTTTCTGCATCCCAAGATCCTGCGCCATCCTGATGGATATTCCCAGATACATCCAGAGACCGCTGTCATGATTCGATCCGAATTGCTCGTAAGCTAGTAAGAGACATGCTTGCACAACGGAGATAGTAGGACAAGAGAGTGAATCGACCAGAGCACTCATCGCTCTATGAGCGAATGGCTGACCGCGGTTTGATTTCTTCATATCCACTGCTGGTTCGGATCCATCTATCGAAGGTGCCTGGGGCGGACTCAGGAGCGGATGGAGAGAAAAACGAGCAGATAACGCACAGATCGCGTCCACCAGCATTGTATCGACCTTCTTATCTTTCAGGTCGCGTAGAAACCTGTCTCGTTGTAGAAAAGGAAAGCTGCACCCTAGATGTACGAAAAACAGATCGCAAAGATGCATCACGAGATTGCTAACAGGAAGGGTATCATCGCGATCATAGAACGGGATAGTATTATAGTCACGGCTGTCGCGGGTATCAGGCAAACCGCTCACATTGTTGATGCCATGATTGGGGAATTTGGGACTTCGTAATGGTGATAAGGACTCTGCATGTGCAGTATCAGTACGTTAGCGGCCAGTATCTTGTGGCACACAAAGCGTATGGCAGCGAAATTATGCAGACCTGATGATAATGAGGCATTGCTCTTGCGAGAACCTCTGACTTGGACAACCTGCAAACACAAAAATCAGTATCGCGACCATCCCAGCGCCCTTCATGGAGGGGATTCAAACCATCTGCTTGAAGCCGGGAACTATAGCGGTTGGCCCAAAATACCTGAAATAAGGGACATGTGTGCGAGCGCTTGAACTTAGAGAAGTGCGATCTAGACAGATGAGACATGGTAAGCACCGAGCAACCACCATTCATGAATCACGGTTGGACCTTTCTGTCACATACTGCTCTCTGGACTTTCTGCTAAGTTCTGCTGCTCAGGCTCTTTCCTTGCTTGGGAAGATATGTCTCTGACAGATGAGGCCTCTTTCACTTCCGACGATTTGGGCTTTACTACAGGCATGTCATTGCGTTCGACAGGAGGCACGGTAGCTCGACCGGGAGGTTCTGGGGAACGAGTTTCGACTTTCAGAGCCACGCGCGAAGTATTCTCGCTAGAGATCGATAAAGGTGCGACTGTCGCAGCTCGAGCACTGGAATCAGATTGCGATCGGGCATGTGTTGTTGGTTCGCTGTACCCTTGGCATACATGATTGTAGTCGGAGCAAGTCTTGCACACTTACATACCCAAATGCGACCTGTTAGTGGTGGGTTACAGCCCCAAGGATCTTGGCTCCTTCTCACCTGGTTGTTCACCCGAGCATCGTATCTTGCGCTTGCGACATGTTAAGCACCTAAAGGGTATCACAGCCACCCGTCAGTACATTTTTCCAGCCAGGAAGAGAGGATAGAGCTAAGAAGTTTGCAGTAGGACTTACGCCGCGTTGACACGCCGCCGCTTTGTCTGAGGTTGACCGTCTGTCGACACAAAGCGAATTTGTCGCGGAGGGGGAACAATATTACCGCCGTTCTTCTGAGGAGAAATATGGCTCATTGCGAGCAAGTGGTCATCCGGCGTCACGACACATTGGGCACCTGATGGTTTAGTCTGAAAGCTCTATGGCGATCGATCGTACCCGCAGATGATGCGCAGGGGGATCGTAGACCGGGAGTATAGAAGTCACGGAGAGGGACAAAGAGGGAGATTCCTGGACGAAAGCACTGAACGGAGGGGAACATCCATGAACAGGCGCTATTTCGAATGTGACTGGTGCAAGTTCATCGCAGGAGCCAGGCGGGCGAGAGGCCGAGATTAACGAGAAGAGGCAGGGTTGAGTGCTCTTTCAGTCGATAACAACAAATGCGAATCGTTCTTGGGAGGGGCGACTAGTGTTGGAAACTTAACTTAGTGGTTAGTACGAGGTTCCTCCCTGGTCATGCCCTCCCAGGGAACCCCCAACGGGCGATGACTGTCTGAGTCGTTGTTGGGTTGAGAAGAGCCACTGCAGCTTAGGTAGTCCCCCCAGCTTAGACTAGTAGTCTAATTGTGGCTCCTGTTCTTTTTCTTTGCTTTTCTGCCTTAAAGAGGCGGCGTCGGAAAAGAAAGCCACCTCAAGAATGAATGGCAGCCCAAGCGATTCTAGCCTGACCGCTTTGTAGTGATTCAATGAATTCAACACCGGTTCCTCTTGTGACGCTTGAACACAGTCCCAAATCAAGCAACTTGAGCCGGTCGATCCGGCTAGGTATTGAAATCAAAAGTTGGACGGAAATAACTGATTGGAAATGCTCATAAGAACGAGGTCTCTGTGCTAGACCCTATGGAAGGACGGCAGAAGCAAGCCGAAGAAAAGAAGACCGAGACGAAAGGGGAAAAGAAAATTGGACTGGTCCCGCCCTCGATGGATTTGTAGCCCATGTGACTATCAAGTATTTAGTTCCCTTACAGCCTCATTACGGGACTTGGCCACCACAGTATCCTGTCATTTCGCCCTTCATGGATAGTGTGTATGTGTGTGTGTGTTGTGTAAGATAGAGGCAGCTTTATTTTATCGCCTCCTTATCCCTGACGTTGCTAGGGTAGCGAAGATCAGTCTCAACGCTGAGATATGATCGCCTGGAAGTCTGATGAAGGTCTGGACTCTCCGCAGTTGGAGTCTGGGGGAATTTGAAAGTGGACACGGGCACTGAAACTGTGCTCCATCTGTTCTCCGTATTGGGCGCGGGGGCGGGCGAGCTTTAATTGACCCGAGCAGCTCCACCTGGGCGGATTCCATACCAAACACTTCCTCGGTCGGCTCTCTTCCGTTCCCCATTGAATTCCCTTCCCCGTCCGCTAATCTTAGAACAAGTAGCAAGCAGTCAACAATGAATGCCGTTCGACTTCACTCAAATCTCTGAAACTGAACTTGCAACGCATTTCCTCAACTCATACGACCACCTTAAAATCTTTTCATGGAACGTCAAATCTCTCAGACCCTTTCTATTGTGAAAATTTCTATCGATTATTCTATCATGCCTTTAGTTATATCTCCTACCTATGTCACTGGACTTTACTTTCCATACCATCTAGAATTGCGGTCTCGGAATCTCAAACGCATCGGTAGTCCGCCCGTATGAAATGCCCCCCAGGCGACTGATGGGCTTGAGAACCTTGAGGTCGACAATACTCTTATCCTCATTGATGGCATCATCTCGAACCCAGAACCGGACACCTTCGATAATCGCGAGGACACTGGACTTCTTCCCCGGAGTCGTCCGGCTTTCAAACTCCTTGGTCTCGACAAGCTTCCCTTCAATGGACATGATGGACTCTTTGACCCGAGCTGGTTTGACAATGGTACTGGGCTCTTGGTGTAATCCCGAGACCTCCCATTCCGATACGCCATAAGGAGCATTGATGGCAGTCGCATTGGCCGCTTCCACGAAGTGCTCCGAGATGATATTGATCACACATTCCTCGGTCTCCGCCAGATTCTTCAGGGTATCTTTCGCTTTGTCAAGGGAGCCAACAAAGCCCACAATAAAGAGTGGAGGATCATGGTTGATAACCTGTGAGTAACTGAACGGGGCAAGATTGGCTGTCTTCCCATCCTTGGACTTCGTGCTGATGAGCGCAATTGGTCTGGGGACCATCCCGGAGATGAGAAGTTTGTAATTAGAAGCCACGGGGCGCCCTTCCTCGTACGGGTCAATTTGCACATGGTTCTTCTTCAGACTCTCGCCTCCATCGTTACCTCCGTCTCCCTCCTTCCAGTCGGGCTTGGGAGGCTTCGAAAAAGTGACGGGGATGTCTCGATTGAAGTCCGGCCGAGATGCCTGAACTTTCTCGAAATTGTCGTGAACTTTGAACATATTCGAAGAGTGAGAAAAAAATCGCGGAGGACAACTTGCTCGGATGTAGGGACAGGGAATTCTCTTTGAGACACTAGACATGCGTTAGTAAAGCCAGCTGCTGTTGGTGCTCGATCATTGGGCATGGAGACTGTCCAGTCTGGGATATTGACTTACGCAAGATGATATTTCGGCTTCAGAGAGTGGCACAGAGTGATTGATGAGACACGGTGGTACATTGGGACTGGGCTTGAGAGTTGACAGCCGAAGGACAGGGCGGGATTTCAATCTGGCGTGTGGTTGCCGTGCAGGACTGAGCCATATTTCCACAATGACGTGTCACGAGTTTGCTCTTATTTCCACGCCACTCCAGAATGTTGAGAGCAAAGATATAGCGTGGCATTAAGTTCACACTGTCGATAAGTTATCCGTGCCGCATCTCCCGTTTGTAAGCGTCCCGGATAACCCCGCGGCGGGACGGAAAGTCGGGGGAACATTGGGAGGCTATCGTCAACCGTAGCTGAAGATGAAACCCCGCACGGCTGAGAAGCTGTTGGGAGGCTTAGGTGTCTGAGCCTGGCCTTGTCCAACTTCTGATCACACCCATGGCAATTAGACAAGTCACCGACCAGCAGCAATGGATAATATGGGTGCGGAATCCATTACTAGATCTATCTTCGAGCGTATATCACAGAGAGATCAGTGAAATCTCCATGGACAGATAGTTAGTTCAGATCACGCTACTACACTTCTAGTCACCAATGTCGATGAACAGTCGCTTGGAAGCTTGTGACATTATGCGGGTTTCGGCTCGAAATCGCAATTCCATTGTCAAATGATAACCGGTAGCTTTAGTTCGATTCGAAGCAGGGAATACGGCTGGCTGTATCGGGTGCTCTGATAAGAGGTTAGACACAAGGCAAACATGGCAAGGCAATGCTCGTAGACCGACCCCTCATTTCCCATCTATCTCATCGCCATCACTTCAGCATCAGCACCAGACCCGACACCAATCAGTGATAGTTCTACGAGCAAGTCTCCCCTCTTAGATTCTATAGTTCTTCATCCGAAATGATGACGAAGAACGATTACGAGACCTTCAAGCTGGGAGATTGGGAGCTTCAGAGCGGGGAGAAGCTGGTCGACGCCCACATCGCATTCAAGACGTTTGGAGATCCCAAGTCGCCCGCCATTGTTTACCCCTCCTGGTTCTCAGGCCGTATGTAACTTGATTTACAACTTACAAGGTAGTCATGCACTTACACTGATAAACACAGAGATCTCCGACAATCTCTGGTTAGTCGGAGAGGACAAGACCCTTAACCCCAATGAATACTACATAATCATCCCCGCACTCTTTGGGAACGGCCAGTCAACATCACCATCCAATTATCCCATTCAAGGGCCCTTCCCAAAATGCTCCATCTACGACAACGTTCGCGCTCAGCACATGCTAGTGACTCAGCATCTAGGCATCCCTCATTTACGTGCAGTGCTTGGATGGTCAATGGGAGCCGCGCAAAGCTTCCAGTGGGCGACACAGTATCCCGAGTTTATGGATTTAGTGGTGCCATTTTGCGGTTCAGCCAGGACGTCGCTCCATAACCAGGTATTCCTTGAGGGCGTGAAAAGTGCACTACTCGCAGCGAAGCACATTTCTTCAGCAGGGTCTGGAAATGCCGGTGTTCTCGAAGCCGGTCAGTCTGATAGAACATGGAGCGAGAGAGAGAAACAAATCGGGCTGAAGGCTTTTGGTAGGGGCTATGCTGGCTGGTAAGAATAATCTTTGTCTGGAGCAGGAGACATTCTGACCTGCCCTCTGTGAAAGGGGATTTTCACAAGCATTCTACCGGGAAAAGCTATATGAAAGCGTCCTCGGATACAAAGATCTAGAGGATTTCATGGTGAGCTTCTGGGAGAGCTGGGCGCTCTCGAAAGGTCAGCCTAGCAACGCGCGAATGCATGCACCGAGGAACCTTCGTTGATAGAACCTGCATTTTAGACCCAGCCAATCTCCTGACAATGCTGCAAACATGGCAGAATGGAAATGTGGCAGATCAAGAGCCATACAACGGGGATTTCGAGCAGGCCATGGCTTCTATCAGAGCAAAAGTCTTGGTCTTGCCTGGAAGGACCGACCTATACTTCCCGTAAGTGTGTCGTGCTGCGTGTGTTATCTTGAGGCAGAAACTCATAGCTAACCGCACAGGCCCGAGGATTCGGAGTATGAGGTTGCCTGTATGGCAGCGGGACTTGGTGCTCTCGACATTTTTCCCTCGATTTGGGGTCGTAAGTTTTGTCCTACAACCCGACTGAGACTTGAATCTAAGGCATAACTCAACAGATTGGGCTGGTGGTCCGGGATTGAGTAAGGATGATCTCGGCTGGTTGGACAAGAAGTTGAATGAATTTTTTCACGGGGAAACCTCTTCTGTCAGAGAAAAATTGGGGGAGAAGCTCAAGTCTATGACCTTTGGAGGGCAGTAGTAATGATTGAAGTGGATCCAAACAGCAAGTAATAAGTTAGTATTTAAACAGTGTCACTGTCGTGAACCTGTAACCGAACTTCCCAGTGAATTCTTTCCCGCAATCTGCTTTCCCGCGATCAACCATCATCCACACGCACGTGATGGGGCTGGAATGCTGAATCAGCTGCTGATCTGGTGGCCGGCGATAAACCTTCAAGCGCCTCCTCATTCCCAAGTCCGAATCGATCAAAGCAGCTGTTACAGTTCCAGCCACTTTTCCTTACCTCTTTTAATCCTCCCCCTTTCATATTGTCACTACCACACTTTAAGATATTTCTCTCGTCATATCTGGTGATTTTCTATTCCAAAATTTGTAAAGTCTTTCCTTCACTTTTCGCGCTCATTCCGTATCTAGTCGCCTGCCTGCTTTCCCAGCGCCTATTCGGCGCAACCGCTTTATCCTGTAACACTCGACAGACGAAAGAGCCAACATGACAGCACCACCAGCCAGGCAGTGGGGAGTTACTCCTCCGATTTCCACCGCCCTTCCTACTCCAGATGAGCTTACCGCCAACGATGATTTGATTTCCGAGCTGAAGGCGCAGAATAACTTCGAAAGTCCGGCGGAGACCGAACGAAGGTGAGACGGATCCTGTCAGGTTTGGCTGAAGCTGCTTCACACAGATGCTGACTTTGCTTGCGCACCCTAGACAACAAGTCCTTCAACTTCTTCAGCGTGTCGCCATCGAGTTTGTCAAAGTTGTCAGCCGCAAGAAGGGTCTCTCTCCTGCAGCCGTGGAGGCAGCTGGAGGGAAGATTCTCACATACGGCAGTTACCGCCTTGGTGTCTATGGGCCAGGTTAGTTTGGCTGAATTTGCCTGTCAGAGCTAAGATCAGGGATATTGATGCCTTTTGTCAACAGGTTCGGATATTGATACGCTGGTGGTCGGACCCAAGCATGTCGTCATCGACGATTTCTTTGCTGAATTCCCCCTTGTGCTTGAACAGATGGCCCCACCTGGAGCAATCGAGAAAATGACACCAGTCCCCGATGCGTTCGTCCCAATTATAAAGATGGAGCTGTCGGGCATTAGCATCGATCTGATATTCGCGCGCCTGATCGTACCATCCGTGCCTATGAGTCTCGACCTGAAGAACAATGATTATCTGCGAGGCTTGGATGAAAAGGAAGTTCGGTCGCTCAATGGAACCCGTGTGACCGACCAGATTCTGGAGCTTGTACCTCAGCAAAAAACCTTCCGCCTGGCCTTGCGCGCCATTAAGCTGTGGGCACAGCGTAAGTGCCCATGTCCTTGGTCCTAGACTATATTCCTTGTTGCGCTAACATCACCTCTTCTGGTTAGAACGAGCGATTTATGCCAATGTTGTGGGATTCCCAGGTGGCGTTGCTTGGGCAATGCTTGTCGCACGAGTGTGTCAACTATACCCTCAAGCCACCGGCTCAGTCATTGTTGGCAAATTCTTCCGAATCATGACAAAGTGGGCCTGGCCTCAGCCCGTCTTACTGAAGCCAATTGAAGATGGCCCTCTCCAAATGAAAGTGTGGAACCCTAAGGTAAAGCTTTTCCGAGAAAAGTAACGATGCGTGGCGAGGTGAGTAACTGATGTCAATATAGATCTACAACGGTGATCGATTCCATTTGATGCCCATTATCACGCCTGCCTATCCGTCCATGTGCGCTACTCACAATGTTTCCGTGTCAACCAAGACTGTGATTCTTCGAGAGTTACAGAGGGGCGGTGACATTGTGGATAAGATTTTCATGAAGCAGCTCAACTGGAATGATTTGTTTAAACGGCACACGTTCTTCACTCAGGACTACAAATACTACCTCAGCATTACGGCTTCCAGCCGAACCAAGGAAGCAGAGTCGGTGTGGTCTGGTCTTGTGGAATCTAAAATCCGCCACCTCGTCGGTGCCCTTGACAGGAAGGCTACAATTGCCGTCGCCCACCCATTCCCTAAAGGTTTCGAGAGGGTACACAAGGTTTCTTCCGAGGAGGAAATTGAGGCAGTCAAGACTGGCTCCACTAAGTATCAAGATAGGGAAATCAAAACCGAGACCACTGATGAGACTAAGGATGCGGCCCACGAAGCTGCTGCGCAAAACGGTGCGGAAAACAAAGAGATTCCGGCTACGGAAGAGAAAGCTGCCGAGGACACCCGAGTCATGTATACGGCAACGTACTATATTGGGCTGGAGCTGAAACCACTCGAACCAGGTACGTCAATTGCACCTCACCTGTGAACTAACTCGCTGACCTGTGAAGGTGCCTCACGGTCATTGGATATCTCATCCGATGCCCAGCTGTTCAAGTCTCTTTGCACCACATGGCCTGGATATCAGCCCGGGGTCATGGATGTGGCTATCACTCATGTTCGCAAGTAAGTGTCTCATGCACCACACAAGCACATTTATGCTGATAACCATTACCAGTTTCGATCTGCCGGATGATGTTTTCCAACCCGGAGAGAAGAAGCCCCTTCGGCCGAAAAAGAAGGTCATTAAGAAGTCCGACACAAGCGGCCACAAGCGGAGCATCGATTCATTGGACGTAAGTGCAAACAAGATAGTCAAAGTATATCACGAAGCGGCGTTGGCCCACGTAACGAAATGCGCATCATCGCGTATCGTGTGAAACTTGTCAGATCCAATGTCTGGATATAACTGATATCAACTGATTTCACAGGACGCATCCCAATCGGCTGCCAAGCGCCAGGTCACATCCAATGGTATCTCCAACGGGGTGGCTAGCACTGCAACCACGCCCGCGTGAGTCGTGGTATAGTGCATCCGAGAACACAATTCCACCGGGGCCGGCTCCCCACCAAACCCAAGCCGAGGGCCAGAAATTGATGAACGGTATTTGGGTTCGAAATAAGCCGTTCCCTTGCTCTGGACGAACAAGCATTGATGAGAACACAATCGCAGCCGTATCTGACCGATTACCCAGTTGATCTGGTATCCGGAGTGCTTGCATTGCGAACAAGTCGACGCCTACCGGCAAAACTTTTTCAAGGTTGGTTCTTCTACACTTCTCTGCCCTAATCGTCTTTCTTTGCGCTGCTTCCAGTCTTCACGTCGTACTCCTCATGTCCCTGCCAGCCAGCCAGTGGCATACTACAGATGGCATGCCTCGCATCGATGAGGTGCCGCCGGTTTGTAATTGGTCGTAAGAACCGGACAGCTATCTTCCCATGACTCAATGGCCGTAAGGGTACAGGATATCATTTGGAGGTCGCTATTCAGGAACCGACGGTTAACCGCTGTACATAATGCCTTGCATGCTTTGACTTAGGTGCTGGTGTATCTGCCAGTTAGGTCTAGTCGAATAAAGCTACACATTCCGTGGCCATGGGGCCACTCTAACACAATCTCAGTCTCAGATTTTAGCTGTCCTGCCACTGATTTGACGCTGTATCATTAATGTCTCTGAATGACTTCTATTAGATCTTCTAGTATGATTAGTGTGGTATATGCACACCCAATTTTGTCATAACCGAACAACATCACTCTGATCAACTCCACGCCTCAACCAACTCACACAATGTTCCCTCCCCACCGACATTACCCGGGAATACCACAAACGGAATCCCCGCATGTCGCGATGTTGGCTCATCGCAACGCCAAATTGGCACTCCCGGCGCCGCCTGGCCGACCACCATGGCGCGCCTGATCTCCAGTCCTTTCGTAGCCGCATCGGACGAAGTGATCCCACCCTATTGCCAGAAGCACCAGAAAAGTCAGCCATCCATTCATGGGCAATCAGTCAACAACCCTTTAGCACAAACCCCGCGAGTTCCCAGGATTCCAAGCCCATCTGAGCGAAACCACAAAGAAGAATATCGAGCCAGGAAACGAGCCGCAAAGAATAATAGAAAAAAAAAAAAAAAAACACACCTGAAACGAAATTGCTCTACATACCTTAGCAACGATATACCGCGGCCTTACCCCAGCGACCACCCCCCTCAACACCTCCACTAACGCCTCCGCCACTCTTCCTCCGATCTTTAGACTCTCCCCTCCTCCGTCACCGGTCACGAGATCCCGACTCGTCATCACCAAGGTATCCTTCCCTGCTTGCAAGGACGTCTGGATGTGGGTAACGAGATCTGCCATTGCGATGGGGATTCTGGGGGTCTTGTCATTGGTGGCGTTGGCGATGGAAGAAGGGGTAGGCTGGGTAAGGAGCGCAGGGACATCGAGGGTCAGGATGGCGAGGGCGTTGGTGCCCGTCGGCCCGTGGCGGTCCGTCAAAGACTTGAGTTGCGCGGTGGTCTTGGGCACGTACGAGCCGGCCAGAATGAGGCCCCCTGTACTTTTGGGGTGCGGGAGGTCGAGAGCGGTTGCTGTGAGGGGGGGGATGGTGGGGATGGAGAGGCGGGTGGAGACGAACGAGGCGGCCGTGCGGTGGAGGTAGGGTTTTGCGGACAGGGATTGGGATTTGGCTTGATCGTATAGGTTGTTTATTCAGTATGGATGACCAGATGGAGGCGGAAGGGAAAGGAATGTTGGGGGTTATCCGCCATGCACCTTGTTTCTGATCTAGGATGAGGAAAGAATAGAGGCCGGGGAACATACCCAGAAGTAACCCGGCGACAAAAACATGCATATCCGACTCCGCGGCGGCGTTCACGATTACCACATTGCCTTCGGGAATTTGTCGCATCTTCTCGCACACGAGTTCCGGTCCTCCGAGACGAATATCCTCGATGGTGATCGAGTGGATCTCCTGGGGGCTGAACCGTCCCGGTGCTTTCTCCATCACGTAGTCCCTGAGGTCGGAACTGTGGAATCCGAAGGTGGCATCGCGCGCGAACGGGGTGGTGCCCGCAGGAACGAGTGAGTCACCCTCGGCGACATAGTGCACGTCGTTGATGGTAAGGCGGCCGCCTTGGAAGAAGAAGGGGGCGAGGATGATGGCTGCGGCGGGGCCGAACACCGATTGCGCGACGTCGGCTTCGAGGGGAAAGTGACCGCGCAGCGTGCTGTCACCGCGGAGGACGATGTCCACTGTCTGATGGGTGCGTGCGGCGGCTTCGGCGATGTTCTCGCAGATGGTGCGGATCAGCTGCTCGGCTCCGCTGGCGGGAAAGGCGCGCGAGTTAGTTAGGATGAAGAACCCGCCGGACGGTTGGCGGAATTCCTTGACAAGGGTGTCAATATCCCATACGGTAAGGACAGCGATGTCATGGCAGGTTTGAGTGCCGGTGGGGTCGTCATCAAGCACGACGAGACGACTGAGTGAGGTGGTCGAGAGGAGCTTGGCGATCTGGGCTTCAGCGTCGATGGTGGACTCAGGGGGCAGTTGAGCCAGGATGCTTTGGCGTGACAGCACCGGGTAGTTGCGAAAACTAGCCATGGTGAGTATGAACTTTTCTATAGCTTGGTATTTGGAACATGATGGGGGGTTTTGTTGTGGTGAGGGCGCAATAAATAGACTGGAAAGATAAGGCGATGTGGGGAAATAAAGCGGGGAGGGTGTGAGGAAGATCGGACAGAAAGCCGAACTCCCCGTATCTCCAATCTCCAGTCACTCAGCTCGGTCGAGAGAAATAAGAGAAAAACTCATATCTTGCTGAATGCATGATGCTATATGCTATGCACAGGAATAGAAGACCCAGGACATCAACAACAGTCAGCAGCCAACCCACTCAAAACACCACAAGCGCCACGACAATGTGCGGAGATGCAAATCAGTCATCATGAGTGAAGCAAAGCAACCAGTGACAGAATGCAGCTATATCCAAAAGTGTCAATACCCACAACCAACCCGAAGAAGGTGTTACAGTCATTGAACACAGTGAGGAAAAAAAAAAAAAAAAAAAAGTCGAATGATCGCAAAGATGGTTATCAACCTGTCATTATGCATGTCCTCCTCCTTTTATGTCTTCCAGAACTTTGAAGCAGAAAAGAAAACAGAAAACAAAAAATTCACCAGCACTCCTCGAAGCTGCATCCCGTGCAAGATAGTGTATCAGAATGTCCACATACCGCCTCAACTATGACTAGGGAATAAGAGAATGGTGTGTCAGCAGGCACATCAAGATGATTATAGAGCATGAAACAGTAACAAAGGGTTGGGTCGCGGCATAAACCTAAGAACATTTTGCCAGTCGCGGCTATCAGCCAACAACGCTGCGGAAGCTGAGAGCTTCGAGAAAGCCTCCTAGATCCTCCTTCTGCACCTCGACCACGCAGTGCTCGAAACTATCGATGCGGACGCGGGCACTGGTTTCTTGGACCACTTCCTGGAAGGCAATCCCAAAACGATTCCGCAGGAGGTGCTTGTTGCCACGCAGGTCCTGCTCGTCCTCGGATTCCGATTCGGACTCCGAGGAGGATTCTTCGGTTTCCTCGTCCTCGTCCTCGTCCTCGTCATCATCCCTTGCTGCACGCTCCGCAGCGCGTTTGGCTCGACGCTGCTCTCGCTCTTTCCGGCTTTTCTCCTTAGCCTCCTTTTTCCGTCGTCTCTCCTCGCGGCGTTTGGTTAGAGCAGCAAAGTCGACAACACCTCCTCCACCTCCTGTGCCGACGACCACATAAAGACCTCGATCCTCATCAAGCCCGGCCAGAACTAATGGGGTGCCAACAGCCCGTCTGCGGCCGATTTTGACGGTATCCGCTCGTTCCCGTTCCTGCACGCGGATGGCCTCCGCGACCCAGAGAGCCAACTTCGTCAGCGCTCCAGGGTTGGTGAACAATTTGAGATCCGGGCCGTCCTTGACAACGGCTATGCGGAATGCGCGCAAGTGCCGGATCTGATGTTTGGACAACAACGATGTACCAGTGCGCAGGATGGCGCGGTGGAGATGTTGTGCAAGAGAAAGTGAGCCAAGGAGCAACGTCGGCGACTCCGATGTCAGTGACAGCGCATCATACGCACTCCAAAACCGGGGGAGAAGACTGGACAGGTCAGATTCAGTAGATACGTCGTCATTCGTCTCGAGGGCAGGTTTCGATAGCCGTTTCGCATCCCACGTGCCAGGAGCATCCTCCGGGCCAACCTCTAGAATAGCACCAATGATAACGCCGACGTCAGTGGCAGAAAGGCAAGCCTTCCAACCCCAGCAGCGGACGAAACCCCACCCTTCGCGAGATGCAGCATGACCGGAGGCTTCAGGAGGAACAAGCCCATCGAGTCCGTACATTGGTGCGTATTTGAGCAGACGCTGCCGTAATACTCGCTTAAGTTCCATATCCATGTGAGTATAGTTTTGGTGACTTTGATTAAGACTGATGCCCATTTTCGCGAGCAGTTTGTGTAATCGCTTCTTACCATGTTCCGTCCACACATGTAATCTTGATGCCAGGTAGGGGCTATGAAGCATACTGTCGTAGAGCGACCAGTGTCGAATGAGAAGGAACCGAGGCTCGGGAGAGAGTCGGATTGACTTGTCGGTTGGTGACCGAGCAGTGGTCGGAATGACACCGTTGATTTCGCCTCTGATGTCGCGCTCGTAGGGATCTGGAGGGTTTAAGCGGTGGACTTCATCTCTCATGATCTGCCGTATTCGTTCGCCTCGTTCTCCGCCCCAACCAGCCGAGCCACCATACTCCAGCGCATGAGAGACGCCCACGCCGGACATCGTTCGGCCACTAAGTTCCAAGCTCGACACACCTACAATGGCCAGCCAC